GTGTATTTTTTTTGGGAGGGGCCGCTAGAAAGAAGAAGACAGACTTGAGCATGCTTCACAACACATCTTCCATCATCCTCTTGCTGCATCTTGGTGCCAAAGAGCAGAGAAAAAATGATAAAAAAGGATGAATAAAAACACTACATAGGGGACAATACAATGAAAAGACTCAAAAAGGGTAAACCCATCATCCAACTTCCTGCAGCTCAGTTCACGTAGTTCTCCATCGCATCATCTAGCTCTTCGATCGCCGACTGGACCAAGGCCATGGTAATGCCATCAGCCAGGAAGGGCCAAATCACCCAAGTCGCCGTGCGGCTGGGACTTTGGATCCCCGCCTCCCGAACGCAGGTTTGGGGCGGTGTCACGGCTGGATGGAGGAACGGTGGAGGAAGGGTGGAGGAAGGGTGGAGGAAGGGTGATGTTGGGGTGAACACACGGCCTCATCGTAGTGGACTCTGTGCAGGGCAGTGCAGGTGAGGGGACTCCGGTTCAGAGATGATAGTTGGTGTCTTTTCCTCTGTCTTTGGTGTCTTTCGGGTGGGTGGGTGGGTGGGAGGGTGTCATGTCACGATGATGAACGATGCGAAGATGCAAGATATGCAAGGGGTGGTCGTGCAGTCATGCTGCAGTCATGCCCATGGAACAGCCATTGCAGAATTTTGATCAATTTTGATGTGTTCTTCCTTGTCTTTCTATCGGCAAATAACAGCAAATGGTGCTCAGCCGACGGTCGTGCCTCTCGTGCGGCCATACAATGGTGTGCAAAGAGGGCACCTTGCACAGGGCAAATCCAAGCCTTGAACTGACCGATCTATTCCAACCAAAATTGGATTTATATAATATGATTTAATGTAGACTCTTGATTAATAAACCCTCCATTTGAAGAGGATGTTCAATTCAATCGAGGGGGGTTATAAAGAGTCCACATTACACATCTATGGGCAACCAAAATGGGATGACCCAAAGAAAATCGAAGCCGACGACTGGTCGTCAGCATCGCTTCAGACCATCCGGATTGGCTAACCGCCGCTTCGAAGCCCGCTTCTCTCGGCCGCGCGGCGATATCTTTCCAGCTCCAGGATCTTCTTGGCCGGGACCGATGCCACTCTCCAGTCCTGGACTGGTGTTGTTTCCAGTGAACACGTCGTGTGGGAAAGAAGGAGAGTCAGTGGGAGCTACAGTAGGCAGCCGGGGCCACAGGGCTGGCACAATTCCAGTGCGAAAGTGCGTTGATTCGGCTTTCCCACTAAGAGAAGTCTTTCACCCATTTTCACCCACCATTGCAGGATCGTGATGCTTCTGGATGGACTTCTGAAAGCACAAGCAAACTGCAGAGAGCAACTTGCGCCTGAAACCTTTTGTTGAGTCAAGTCAAGTCAAGTCAGTCAAGTCCCAACCTCGTCGTCTGTGTCGCAACTCCGCCGCAATTCTTCTTCCTATCAGTTCACAGATTGTTGATGATTTTTGGATCCATCACGCGTGCGGCAACGGAAGAGAGACATTCTTCGGCCATCCCAAAGGGGAAAAAAAAACATCAAGTGAATTGGTCCAATTCTAGATCAGAAAGGTGTGTAAATCAACCTCCAGAATCGACCGAAACATCCAGTCTGACCAACCACCAGGTATCACCAAAGGTATGTGGATGTCGTGGACAAGGGTGGCTCACTTGGATGACTGCACCTGACTTGGATGTCGTCGTCCACTTGCAGGTTGCTTGATGAACTTGGCTAAAGGGCTTGCCTCAATGGTTTGTCAAGTTGTCAAGTGCATGTAGGCATGCAGATTCGTGCATGTGCGTCTAAGCTGTGGTGGTGAGAACTAGTGAACTAGTGATGATCTGAGGCTAACATTCAGTTGGAACTCAATAAAAAGTGCAGCTAAGCTAGCAATGCTCGAATGCATGCACTGTCTAATGCCGCCACATTGCCGGAGCTTCTCCATAGGTCATTCGAAGCTCATGCTCCAAAACCAGAAGCTTGTCCGTTGCTGATTGGACCTGGCGCACTCTCCCATTCTCCAGGTGATCTGTCATAGTTTGTTGACTAGCTGGCACCTTTCTGCGAGAGTCGTAAGGAAGCAAAGAAACAAATGCCCTCACAATTCTCATGATAAAGCCAACAGGTAGGGCAGGCCATCCGGGTCAAGGTGGCATCAGGTACATGCGGCACGTCTTCAACGGCTTCGGTTTGCACCTGTTCGGCTTCACCTTCGCCCGGTGTCGGCACTGGTCACTGCAAAGGACGCAGCAATGGGCGCTGAGGCTTGAACCGTTGGCATGTTCTGGGTGCATCTCTTTGCTGGGAAGGGCTTCCAAGTGCTCAGCAGCATCACCTCACTTAGGGCACATTGACTCTTCAGCTACAGGCATTGTCTGGCTGAAGATGCATCTACAAATGTATGCAGCACACGGTCGCTAAGCTCGAGGCTAAATACCTCTTCCAGCACAAGGTCGACTAGTAGGTCTGCCTCAACTAAATGTGACAAGTCTAAATGTGTTCCAAAAGTGTACCCTTCCGATTCCAATTTCTTTCTTTGGTGCACCAGCCTGGCCAACCACTCTTGCAGCATTCTGCCTCAGCAAAAGCTTCCAGTTCCCGTGAGTGCGGCGGAATCTGCTTGGAACTAGTCATGACAAATAACACACACCACATATATATATATATAGTTCATTTCTATTCGTGTGTCAACTGGTTCTGGTAAAGAAAACACTGCAAAATGGCTATGTGACATGTTGAACTCTTCTGGTCCTTGTGTTGTGGTTTGTTTTTACCAGTCTTCTTCCACCCAGCGACCGGAGGAAGTCATCAGGGCAGGGCAGCTTTCCAGGGCGAAAGGGTGTTGGCTTCAGCAAAGAACCTTCGGCAGGTGCTTCGGCAGGTCCTTCCCCAAGCAAAGCCCTCAGTCTCCGGGAGAGTTTCTGCACCTTCTCAGGCGTTTCAGGTGACATTCGGTCGGAATGACCCGGGGCATGTTCAAGTGTTCTTCTGACACTGCTGAACGGGCGGACCTGGGCGAAAGCATCTTCGCCATGCGAGGCTGTCTGAGCTTTTGCTTGAGGAAGAAGAAGTGCAAGCTTCTCTCCCAAGTGCGACACCCGTCGTTGCACGTGAGCAACGGCGAGTTGCTCCGGTGGAGGTTGTGGCCTCCAAGGAATCAACGGAGGCTGCGCTTCCCACAAGGGTCTTGGCGCTGGCGCGTCCGCTTCAATGGGTCTCTCCACTTCGACCGCCTTCGGCGGGGCAGGTGTTGGCGCCTTGGGCCGCTGGCGGGAAACCATGGTGTCTTGCAACCTCTCTCTCAAGTGTCCCGGTCGATTCCTCGATCGAACGGCACTTTCGTCCGCTTGAGCCGGCTCTTTTTTCTCGGGCCGAAAGGGCCGCTCCTCTCGCCCTCGGACGCCTCGCGGCACGTCCGGTGTCGGTGGAGCTGGTTGTGGCCGCGACTTCGTGAAGATCTGCTGCAGTTGGGTATCGAAGAAACTCGGTGCCCTGGTGTCCTCATCCCATCCAGGTCGCGGAGCTCGCGGAGCTCGCGGAGCTCGCGGCGCCTGTGACACCACCCGCGACGGACCATTGCGCCGGTGCCGGCGACCGCGGGGAGCACCGCGACTGGGCTGGCGCGGAGCGGTCGCGCCGCGAGCGCCAGCACTGGAGGCTCGAAAGGCCATGCTGTTTCACATGCTCTAGCTGTAGTGGTTCATGAACATGTGGTGTGTTTGTGTGTTTTGTTGTGTGTTTTGCTTCTTTTTGCTCGCTTCCTGTAATTATGTACGAGCGATTAAGATATAAGGCATTTTGCTCTCCCTCCTGTGTCTGCTCCGTCAAATCATATAAACACCCTTACTGAACGGTGTTGCTGCATCGAAAAATGCACCTCATGTAAGCGAGTTGGTGGGTTGGGTGGGTTTGGGATGTGGTCCTGATAAGTACATACTGAAGACACTTCTTGTTAATAACCTGTGGCACCATGATTACTCATGTGTCCTGAATTCCAACTGTGGGCCACACACAGTATGGTGTTCTCGATTGGTCAGTGGGGCAGAGTTCTTCTCAACCGATGAATTGCCCAAAGTATCCCAACGTCAGGGTCGAGTGGCTTCAACATCAGACCTGCAACTTTCTGTCTTCTTGTGCACCGCTCAACACTGCTTGTAATTGCAAAAAGTAAAATCATGAATCGTGTCTAAGTGTCCTTTCTTTTTGTCTAGTTTTAGATTAATATCCTTTCTCAAAAGGTGATCATTTTGTACTGACCGTTGCTGGTAATGGGACGATTATGGACGATTATTCTTGTGCCGTATCATGCTGTATCGATTATTCTTGTGCCGTATTGGACTACGTGTTCATGGCTCAAAGGGATTCGATTCAACGGGGCACTCCAATCTTCAATTGCTCCATCTGGGGCGCTTCGCTGAAGTCTATGGTTACAGCACATGTTCGAAGCTGCAGTCTCAGGTCGTTCGGGTCTTGGAAGTTTGGGTCGTTGCTGCACCGTGTAACGTTGACGTTTGAAGAGTAGAGCAAATGGACCGAATGCTGTCAACCGGCGCCAACGTTTAAGCCACTTTCTAAATGTCAATCATGCCAGCGCGTCTAACAAGTCGTCGCAGCAGTACAATAAGACCGGCCAAGGGCAGTGTTGTGCCCATGTGATACTCCTTTCATGGCCTGGAAAAACCGCGGGTCCAGGGGTCCAGCGTCCAGCGTCCTTTGTGGTGATCTGTCTGCTTGCGACGCGCGACGAAGTGGGACCAACTGGTGCGTTCTGGGGGGGGTTGGGGCGTGGCATGTTTGGCGACAGCTGGCGACTGCCAAGCTTGAGGCTTCCATGTGTACCTCATCCTCGATGGTGCAAAACAACGTACAGAGGCATCAAGCAACCATTTCGGTTCACATGTTTTTCATATGTAAACCTGATTCGGGGCTTTCTCAAAAACAAACAATCTCTGAAACTTGCGCGTATGCATCGTGCCTGCCAGGCCTCTTTTTGGTCAAAACGCCGGTCTCTGAAGTACAAATCCAGCACATCCGCCCTTCGTCATGCCGTGCCACTTGGCTGTCTGCTGCTCCGACACGAGGACCGCATCACCTTCGCGAAGCTCCAGGAGCTCGTGGGATCTGGGATGCGCTTTGCATGGAAGATAGTCTTCAAGCACCAGCCAGGAGCACACAATATCCATGGAGATTTGCTTGGCTTGTGGGTCTGAAGCAGTATGAGCCAAGAAAGCCAAAGGATCTTCATCCAAAGCTTTCTCCAAGCAAATGAAATCGTAGATCCGGCAGGTCAAGAATTCGGCTGCCTTGTCTCGCTTAGGGCCAACGGCAGCAAGGCACTTCGTCCAAACCTTTGTACCTTCAGAGAGCATCTCAAGAACCTGTTGCAAAGGCAATGTGGACGTACAAAGCTCGTTGGGATGCCCAGATGGCACATGTTTATTTGGAGTGAAGTAGTCCGACACCGGACGCCGGCATCGACCTGCCAGCTCTTCATGCAAGTCGTCCAATCTCTGTCCCACATCCAGGCGGATGAGATACGACAAGATTTGAAAGTCTATTGAGGATTTGGGAATGCCACGAAAAGCCGTCCCTCGCATGCGGGATACGCAGCGTCCGTGAGTGACAGAGTCCTCGTCCTCAGGTCGTGCAAGGATGCGACTAATCTGGACACTCTTCAATGGGAATCGTGTATTGCATGTCGCAGCTATATGACAATCGTTCTCCACATCATAGCTGAGAATACAAGCGCTCTTCCCTGCCAAATGTGCCAAAGGGCCCCTGAGGCGGTCGATCTCAACGACACTGTCACACAAGTCCATATTTTTCTTGTAGCCATTGCTTGGAGGATAGAAGTGGTGCCCACACGCCTCCATGAGTGAGCAAGTGTAAAGTCGCTCCGGCTCCAAAGCGAAGTGCGGGCTGAAAGAGCTGGAAAAGGAGAATCTGTGCATGTCGAGCCCCTCAAGTCCCATCATAGTCGAACCTGCGCTTCGGCCGTCGGCGTCATCGGCGGTCAAACGGTTCGTTGGAAAAATGGTAAGAATATATCGTAAGAATCATGTCATCCAGGATCTATCTGCAACATGAAATGCCCTGTCGGTCAGGAATTAAAAGAGCTGGCTTTAGGAGTCACCCAGAGGAAAAAGAGCCGCTGAACAATCCTCAAGAAAGAGAAACCATGCATATGGCGCATGAGTCACATGACGCTTCAGGAAAAAAAAAGAACCAATTTCAAATCACACGTTGACATGTTTCTTTGATGCGGAACTCTCCGTCCACTTCATGTTGAGACTTCGGGCCTTGTTGAAACCATCCCATGAGGTCTCAGATCCAAGGCTGTTCCATTCACCGCCAGCAGCGAATCCCTGGCCGACGCCAAGGCCGCAAGGACCTCGCCGGCCGCGCCCGCGCCGGCATCACCAGTGGCCAAGGCTCTTCTCACTCCAAGTTCGCTGCCTGCGAGCAAACAGCGATTTTGTGGAGATTGCTTGAAGGGTACAAAGGCCACTTCAGTAGCGGAGGGAAAGAGATGTTGTAGGATCTTCAAACGTGGTTGTTGCAGAAGGTCTTCGAACATTTCCGCCACCCGAATCTGCTTTTCCGTAATGCGGCTTGCTTCCGCACCAGCGGTGGTGCGCCAGGCAACACAACGAGTGCAAACGCTCAGCAAGGACAGCAATCCATCCTTGTCGCCCGTCAGCTTTCTCAAATAGGAATCACTTGAATGTATGTCTGCAAATACCTCTTTCTCTTCCGATGTATTTATCTTGTGCATGCAGCAAGTGGCAATAACGGCTCCCAGTACTTCTACTCTAGTGCCATTGCTACACCAGCGACGAAGCAATTTCAGAGCTAAATCGGTACCAGTTCCACAAAGGTGCTTTGCAATGACCACAACTTGCCGAATGCCGTGCTTTTCCAAAATGGGCTCGATTTCCCTGCTTGCATCCAAATCACCCACGTCGCCCGTCACGCGCAAAATCCGATCCCGATATTGCTCAGGAAGCCGCGCTTCAACGCGCATGGGTTCTGGAGGCAGCGTGTGATCAATGAGCACTGCATGACCACCCAGCAGCAAGCCTGCCAGCAATGCAAGGCTTCCATTTCCTGCGCCGATGTCCACCACCGCCAAGCCACCAGACCGGGGTCCAAGATTGGGTGCCAATGCCCAGACTTTGGCCAGAATTGACCATTCTTGTGCCAAGTACTTCTCTTGATATTTCGGTGGTCGGTCAATCATACTTGAGAGTATCTCCAGACCTTCTTGGGGAGCAAAGATCTGCGGCAGTCTCCGATAAGGGCATTCAACCTGCAGTGCTGCAGCTGCAGCAGTGAGAGCCTCCTCTACTTCTTCCTCTGTGGGATGCTTAACTTTCTTCTCTTGCCGGGCACCTGAGTCCGCACTGGAGCACCTGACGAGTGGACCAGAGAAGATCTTTTCTTGACATCATATGACATCTTGAATTTGAACCATTTGAACTCTGCAACGGTATAACTTTTGAAGACATTGTGCAACACTGGCCTGGACCACAAGTTCGGTAAAGCTTCTTGCAGGGCCTCATTCTTCAAACAAAACCAACTCATCAAATGACATTCTTCAGCACATCCAGCCTGCAGCACCTGGTGGACGGCTCGCAACTCCCGAGTGCGAGCCTTGTCATGCGCCAGACCTGTCGGTCTCGGTCCGGTCGCACCGTCGTCCCAAACGGAACGACACCGGAACCAACGACCCCAGCGGAAGCGGCTGGCGCGCGCGAGCGGCACTGGCCCTCTCTGGGGCTCCCGTGCGAACATGGGCACGCTCCTCCCGCTTCTGCCGGCGCCGGGAAGCCACGGATGGCTTTGACGCCACCTGATGTTGCAGTGGGTGGAGTCAAAGCTTGCAACCTCCTGGGCAAGGTGGTCCTCTGATCATCCCGCCTTACAAATGGCCGGGGCTTTTGAGGGGGAAACGACGCCATCATTGCACCGGCCTCACCGTCTTCTTCACCTAAAAAGCCATCAAAAGAAAGCACCGGTAGCCAGTCCTGGCTCCAAGTTGCAGCAGAAACAAACTCGGAAGCATGGCATGCTGGTCGGAAGCAGGTAGAGTCTGGTAGGGTGACCAGTCCACCAAAAACACCGCGAAAAAGTGGCACCTCGGCACCTCACTGAATTTCCAGTTTTGAGTTCGTTGAATCAAAGGTCCTCTATGTCGTTGTCATCGGTAGGATCAGCCATGAAAAAGAGTTCTTTTGAGCCCAGGCTGGACTCCAAGGACTCCAAGCTTTTGATCCCAGAGACATTGTTGATTCTGCAACCTCTGAAGTGGCCCTGTTGCCACCTTGAAGTCTATGAATCCAAATTTACAGTAAAAACAAACGCTCGCAAGGTTGCAGCTACAACACACCAACAAAAAAACTGCTCACAGAACTTGCAGTGCAGCCAGCGCAGCCTTTTCCTTCCAACTTACTCTGCGACTTCCAATTGCGGCCGCCGTTCTGCAGGCCTGGCGTCGTGGCTTTCAACCGCGAACCGCGATACCGCTGACCTCGGATGACCAACATCCGCCAGATGCACGGAGGACAAGTCACTAGAAGCCGGCCAGCTCCTTTTGCATGCCCATCGATGAGAACCTCAGGGAACGTTCGTATGCACTAGTCAGCGGGTCCAACCAAACCCTGAAATCGATTCGGAAGAGGAGACGGGTCAACGAGAAGAAGTCAGCGCTTCGTGCTTCCAGCGAGAGCCGCTGCACTGTCAGCCCTTGGCCCAGGATCCGCAATCATCTGAAATGTCCAGGTTCTTTCGGTCCTGAGTCGACAACCTGGCGAGGCCAAGGCCAGAGAGGTGAACTGGGTCGATCGCATCCGTAGGCACGGAACGCGAACGAACTGGCATCCGGTGCGGTTCTTCGGATCTTCGGATGGCGCCTCACCCAGCCTTCCCAGACTTCATCAGCCTGAGGAGGGAACCCCTTCATACCACTCACTGGATGAATTCATGTAAGATGTGCCATTCACCAGAATTCAAACTATCATAGTGCCTTTTTCCATGGTGTGATCACGTGTCATCTAGCCGGTCTCGTCTCAGTCATCTCACTGATGAATTCTTCGGGGAAAAAAAGACCTTCACGTCTTCTTCATCGTCTTTTGTCTCCAGCCTCGATCACAGCACCAGCTTCCAGGAAGGCAATCGCTGGAGCCTCCAGAACTTTCCAAAGCAATGCTGTTCTGAGAGACAAAAACAGCCCCCTACTGCCCCTAGTGTACAGGTCGCCACAGGATGGTACAGGATGATACCAGTCCATCCAATATATCATATGCCAATAATATGCCAATTCATATCCATTGCAATATCATTGTTGGACTTATCCCAATATCACTCCCCCCGACGTCACCTGCACCGAGGCCTTTGTTCTCACCGGAACACGTGGTTCGAAGACCTCAGCGCAGCGGCGCGAGCGGGAACCCACCGCCCTCCGCATGGGGGTGGCCGAGCCGTTGCTTTTTGGGGTCCTGGCTGTTTTTGAGGAGTTCTCCTGTCTGGTGACTCTTGACCACTAAAACCCCCCCCAAATTGCAATTGGAAACATCCTCTGAAGTCGTTTTAGTCCTTCGTCCGTCCACGTCGCCCGGGAGCCCCCACGACACGAAACCACCGGGGTTCACACGGCTCCAACCTGAGATCCACGGGAGGTTGGATGAGGTTGGTGCTCCTGGTGTACACAGGACACCGCATGTCCCAGCAAGGAACCAGGATATATACCAGGGTTCGATGTCTTTGGTTCTACATTCTGCCAAATGAATAGTGCAATGATAGACTAATCACAAGATATTATATATAAGTGGAAGTTAAGTGACGCACATTCTGGATCACTCTGGTGATGTGCAGCCATGTGACAGTATGCCCAGGCTGACAGCTTTGCCATCTTGCAGAACCTCAGGGACAAGTTGCAAAATGAAGACCCATCTGAGAATTCTTCCCAAATTCAGGGAGAGGAGCAAACAGCAGGGCCCCTTGGGCCCCTTCAAAGGCCATAGATAGGGGTCCCAAAAAAGACAGGGAACCCAAACAAGGATCGAGCCAATTACCGTTCGTTCTTTTCGCAAAAAAATGCAACCCGCAACCAACGCTCTCGCAGCTCCGCTCCCCCATCCCACGCTGGCGCCAGCCAACAAGGCCACCCACCCACGCTTCACAGTCTTCGGACCTGGGAGTTGCGAGTCGAGTCGAGTCGCACGACCCAAGTCGCACGCACGACCCATGTGTCTCATAGACCTTTCTTCCGCACAACCGATGTGTTTTTAGGACCGTTTGTTTTTTAGCTATATGTTTCTTCTTTGTTTCTAGCGATGGCCTCGAACCCAATAGTTGAAATCACTGAAGCAGACCAATTCGCCATTAAGTTTTGTGGTATACATTGTGCTAGTGCTAGGCTTGAGCTTCCTGCACATCTCGAGCTTGTGTCTCTGACTCAGCAAGTCGTACCCAGCCTGGTTGTCAGGTCCATTCAAGATCAACACCAGGCGTGAGTGAGCGATAGAGTGAGAATGAGAGCTACCGCACTCAAAAGTCCATCACCAAAAACCTATGCAATGCACTACAAGTACCTTGGTTTCGTTCTAGCTTTCATTAGGTCACAGAACGGGCACACAGTGATCTGCCAGCCAACTGAATAGCTTGAAGTGCTCATGAGACGCTGTCTGAGCCTTGTCTGACTTCTGCAATCTCTACAATCTCTCCAGCCTACCGACGACGCCCAACGCGGGGGCAACCAACGCGACGCATCGGCGGGGTGTGATGCGCAGCACCGGGACGGGCGGAGCTCCGCGGAGGGACGAGCGCCTCCAAAAATGCCACGGAGGGTGCGGTCAAGCTCGGCGACTTCCGCACCTCGGATGGGATGATGGGATGAGAGGGTTCTAATAAGCGGAACGTCCATGTTGAAGCTTCCGAAAGATCTCCCAAGCGAAGAAAAAAACACCATGTGCAAGAGACTGCTTGGTGTCCCATGATCAAAGACTTCTGTACCTAAAAGCATCTAAAACCCACTGCAATGAAAGCTATGGAGATGGCTGTCACCCGCGGCTGGTAGACGACGCGAACCCTCAGTGGTCTCAGGCACTCCGTGGGTCATCGGATCGGATCAACGCCGGCGGAGCGGAGCAACACCGTCTGAGGCGCGTTCCACTTTGGAATGGCACCGGAGGAGACGATTCGGGTCTCCTCCTGCGATTCGCGAAGCGGGCGGTGAAGCCAACGGAGGGATTTCGGGGGAAGGAACCGCGGAAAAGGAACGAAGCCGCCAAGGAAACCGGCGAAGGCGAAGGCGTTGCTTGAAAGGCTCCTTCCAAGCTCGGGGCTTGGGAGTTGCTTTCGGTTCCCTCTCGGGTGTCTTACCTGTCAAAGGATGTCAAAGGTGACATGCTTAGCTGCTTGGAGGCAGCCAAATCATGCAGCTGAGCTAGGTGACATCTGCGCCTTTGGCAGAATCTGCCCATTGGCTGAAGCGCGACCGCCCAGCAGTCATGGGGTATTGATGTCGCTGAAAAGGATGTCAGCTGTGCACACTTGGTAGCTCTCTTGTGGCTCAAAGATGCTTAACCACCGACTCACATCCGTTCTCCTATGGTTTTAACATGCCAGTTCTCACAGTTCTGTTCTGCATCGGCGCGCATCGTTCTGCTGTTCCACCATGAGTTGACTCGATTTGACCCTGAAAACGTGCGCCATCACATCATGAGACCTGCAAAAGTAGCTCAGCAATGTCGTGCCATGGTGAAAACAAGCCTAAATCAACACAAAGAAGTAATGATAGACTCTTGATGAATGACTCCCCTGGAAATGAAGACCTTTTTTACAATCCAAGGGCAGAGGGGGCAGAGGGGCTTTTGTTCCTCAATCGTCTACATTCACTTCACTCGGCTCTCTCGTCGTGTCGACCCGGACGTCCGCTTCACTGGCTCGTCACGTCTCCGCTCAGATCCTGGACCGCGGAGTGGCGTTCCCGACGTGGCGTTCAACTCGTCCGTCCGCGGTCCGGTTCGTCGTGTGTTGGAACATTGTTTAACATCATGTTTTGGACGGATGGACCAAGGGATGTCCAAGGCCAAGCTCAAGGAATATGAAGAGATTTTGCCGATTTAATGTTATTAGATGGTATGTCACGTGTGTGTCCATGCATGTCCTGTCTAGGGCCTCTAGGGCTCCCTGCAATGACATCCCACTTTCCCGAAAGCTGTTGCTTCAGCAGGATGCTCCGATACTCCTCAAGTGCAGCAAGAGGTTATAGTGTGTGACGGCCCCGACCAGCAAAACGAGGCTGACAATCTCCTTGGTACCGCAGGTGACCAGAAGCTGGCTTCCAGCTTGGTACCATTCAATCTTCCAGACTTCCTGTGCTCAATGGCTCAAGCGGATAACGCCTCCGATCGCCGAACCGCGCCTCCTCGAGGTTCACTCGGTCTTCGACCACCCACGTGCTCGACGGGTCACCTGGGGCGAATTCACCCGGAACATCGTCGCGGTTCGGTCGCCCGAACCCAAGAGACGAACGACACCAGAAGATCACTTCTTGCCCCCTCACACACCTGCCATGTCGTGCTCTGCCGTGCTCATGTGTGGTTCAATGCTGACCCAGAGAAATGTGCCGTGCAGACGCCAAGGTGTCATAGTTGCCATCCCATGGTTTCCAAGCAACATCGCGAAAGTCCTCAAAAGTGCATCTATCAACATTCAGGAGAGTTGTTCATGTCCGCCTTGTGTGAAAAACTGCTCAGATGTTCAGCTGCCCTCTCTGCTGTTAGAGTCTCCTTGTTCTCCGATTTCTCCACCTCCTCTTCTTTGCACCTTCCCTGCACCTCTCTGGCACACCAAGCTCGGTGCCAGACCGGTGCGGTCGACCGGCACGAAACACTCGCGTCGCGCGTCTCGCTGTGTGCGGCGTCTCGTCGTTCGGGGCCGCGGCATCCAAAATGGACCACACCCGTAGACCTCGAAGAACGGACGCCCAGCGGGATTCCCAAAAAAGAGGTGCGCAAAAAAAGGGGGGGTTGCCCATTTGAGCTTCTTTTTTGGTTGACAACTGATTTGGGCCGAGTGAGATGTGTTTTTCTTTTTTGTGTGGTTTTTGTGGTTTGTATAGTATGTTCATTCCTCTCAAGTGTCTTAAGACATCTTCAGACCTTGCATCTGCAGGGCGTTTGGGGACAAAATCGCTCAAACGAACAAATGTGCTGCTCACCATCATCACCAGCTGAAGCAAGGCCTGAGAGCGCGCTTGGGATTCAGCTCTTCAACCAAATTAGAAATTGCCATATCGCCTCCCAAACAGATTGGTCGTTTGAAATTGCAGCCTAAAATAGGCGAGAAAACATAACGACTAAGTAGGCTTCTCTCCGTCCAACTAAGTGACTTCGACAGCCATTTGTTCATCGACAGCTGAGAAATCGACAAGCTCCAGCCAGCTTTCCAAGCTCTGGCCCGACCTTGGGACGGTTTGGGGTGTTGGTCAGGTTCGGTCCAACCATGGTCAAACGATCAAACAAGGCGGCCGTGTGTTGAGGTTCTGACACTGGAAGCCCAGGACACTGCATGCACCTCCAAAACCCGTGAGGTGAAACCCAAACAGTCGACAGGCTTTGCAAACATGTCAACTGCTGGAAGCGAATGATTCGAATTCCTGGAGGCCTCCCCCTGATGAATGGCGAAGCTCTGCGTCTGCCAGCGATGTTCGACATCTGCTTCGCCTTCAGATAATGTATGGAAAATGCTGATGGAATTTGAGAACACACTGCAGAATACTGCACACCTGACCGCACTGTGCCCTGATGGATCGTCGCTGTGACGGTTCCATCGCTGAGTGCACACGCAAATGCCTCAGGATGTCGCACCGCGTCGCACCGCGACGGCACCGCGACGGCCCGATCTCATCGGTTGAAACGATCCCTCAGCTTTGGGCGGCTCCCACATTCACCGGTGCCCAGGACACTGCCTCGCAAAGAACCACGAAAGGTTCCCCGGTGAAGTCAACACCAGCGTTCGCGTCGGCAGCACCTTGACTTCTCCATGTCTGCTCAAGTCCTCCTCGTGAACCTCGGAAGGGTCGTCTCTTGGCCCGCGAAAAAAACGGCTTCGAAGCGCTGAGGAGGGCCACGAGTTGCCACCTCTTTGCATCGTGGCATGGACCCCACAACAACACCTCAGCATCGCAGAACTCCATATGTCGACATGAATGGATAGGGTGTCGTTCACATGTGTTCGTCTGATTTTCTTCCTCAGATTGACAGGTCTTCACATGGATTGAACCAAACACCGTGTGCCATCCATGCGAATCCGAGTGCCCGCGCGCGTCCATCGTCTCCTCCGGTCAGCAAGAGCGCACCAGCTCCGGTGCCGACAGGAGCCCAGGAGGCCTGGGCGAGGAGGTTCCAAGTGACCTGAAGGTCTTCTGAAAAGCAATAAAACGTCGGAAGTCTTCGGGAAAATAAACAAACGATGTTAACAAAAAAAAAGAACTTACTTATATGCATGAGAATAAAAGTTGAATCTCATAACAGGTCATAGCAAAAAAGTGGCCTCCAAGTTTGGAGTGTCCAGTTGTCGAGTCGGTGCCCCGCCCCCGCGTTGAGGAAGCGGATTTGGACGAGTCCACCGACCGCTGAGAGCGCCTGTCGGACTGGACCAGTGTGACCATCCAAGTCGCAGAGGAAGATGGGGTCCTGGAACAGAGTAGTCAAAAAGCACCGTGAAAAAGCAACGTTCTTTCCTGGAGGCGAGAGAAAAGTGGTGTGTCTGCGTCCTTCTTGAAGACTTCAGCTGTCTTTTTTTTCAGCGGTTAAAGCTAGATTGATTGCTGTTTGCGGCTTGCACCCAAGAAGGTCCTCTGGCGATTGCACATCCCACAACTTCACCAAACCATCTGCTGACCTCAAGCTGTTTCGCTGTTTCTCCGTCTCATGGCAAACTTCCAAAGCGTCTCTGGCAAAACCAACCATCTAAAAAGTATACGACTGTTTCACGAGCGGTGCCCGAACAACCAACAACCAGGTCAGGTAGGGTAGGTCGTTCGGTCGTTCATGTGGAGTTTCCCATGGTCATCGCTCGGAGCGCAAATCGATGATCCAAGTGTCCGGGCGCCGTCGCCAGTCTGAGGCAGAGCTCATCCAGCTGGGTGTCCAGAATTGGTGCCGTGTGAGCTGTGTCGAACTGAGACACGATCGCGGTCATTCATTCAGCCTGGAAAAGCATGAAGGGCCGACAAGGAGACATGTGTTTTTGCTTGAGATCGGGATGGGCATACAAAGAAGACTACAGTGATCTTCTGGAGATTCCCTGAGACAAAACCATCTCAGTTCACCACAGGAACACAGCTTGGCACAGATATGTCTGGCGATTCTGCAGGTCACAGGGAAATACCAGGATCTCTGCATCGGTCGCCAAGCCCAAACGAACAAGCCAGGGCCAAGCCATCCCAACTGTTCTCGCCCCAAGCCCAAAACAAACCAAGTTCTTGAGCTTGGACCTAAGTATTGCGGAAAAAAACAGCACTCAATATCAATCAACCATCAGCGCTGAGGGTCGTGAAATCCCCTCCATCCCTCCATCCGCGGACCGGTCCCGATGGTGCGTTTCGGCCGCTCCTTTGAACAGGTGCGGGAGGACCAAACGTGGCGCGAAAGCGAAAAGCGAAGCGTTGGGCTTTGTAAAAGCTGCTTGGTGTGACCGACGTTCGATGGTGACGATCGCAGTGATTTTGGTGGATTTGGTCGCGAACGAAAGGAGGTGAAGGATTTGCAAGAAGTGCTGGATGACTGGATGACCACAAGAAGTGCAGCCCTTTCTCTCAACCTACCTACAGTACGCCATTCAAACAGACTCCGGTCTAGGATAATGATGACTTCAACGAACTGTCTGTGCACAGGAATATCTGCGTCTCTTTGATGGAGCCTCACAGCTGCAAGATGAGGTCAAGCGGAGCATTCCGGTCAAGCGGATCGAAAAAGAGTCTCCCAAAACGTGCCAACAATGCACCGAAGAGCTTCGTTGTTGCAACACCAGCACCTTTTTGGCACGCTCGCTTCCCGTGGAACAAAGGAAGGCTTCCTGTCCCGCGTAGGTGCAAACGATCCGTTTCGACTGCCAAGCACATTCGTTTCTGCTCCTGTGTCGAAGGTCAGGCAAGCATTCACGTATTCCTCGTGCTAAGCCTGAAAAAGGTCGGTTCCAGTGAAATTGTATAATACAAAGCTGCAGAGTGCCAAAGCCTCACACCGGCGGTCGGCGTGCTCATGTAGCTGTGACAACTGTGGACTCTCAGGACAAGACGAAGGAGAAAAGCATTGTAAAGGCTGTCCTGGGTGATCCGTTTCACCCAGCACATGCCCAGATTCTGGGTCTCGAATACCACTTCGAACATCTTCAAACAGCTCACAAGTAAAATCATCATCTCTTCTCCCTCCACAGGTTGCCTCAAACCATCGCACAGTTCTTGTTTTTCCTCAGCCTCCGGGCCAACCAGCACGCTTTGAGGTGCTGCCTCGAAGACGAGTCCAGCGCCGCACGGCGCCACACGCTTGAGCTGAGTAGCGCCCAGCGCGGCTCCAGGCGTCCCACCTGCCAGCCGCGGTGCCGCCACATGGAGTCGACTTCATTGATAACATCATTCTACCGAAAGAAGAAGAAAAACATATCCAGTAAGCTTCCAACACCAACCTGCGCCGAAAATTGCAAATGATTTCAAAGTGGTGCTTTTGGAGCTTTGCGGTCACAAAATTGAAACAGTACATATTCAGGCAAACCTTTTCAGCTTTAAATAGCGTTAACAACATTTCAGCCCTTGGTCTTTGGCACATCCAGACCGCCGCGCCAAGCGGCGCCGCACCCTTTTCGCTGCTCTTCTCGCACTGTTGGCGCAGTCCAAGGACGCGCCACGACATGCTGCGCTGCCACGAGGAGCCACGTCTTCTCACTACTCGGTCTCAATGGTTTCATCAAGAGCTTGGTATGCATGCTTCGGTGCTCCAGTAAACCAAACGCGAGCCTCGCGAGAGTGATGTGCATATATAACATATACATATACTCTGTAACACATATCATATTGATACATGATGAATGTGACATATGTATATAATGTTGTTTAACTTTGTGGTAAGTCTAATGAGTCCATCGCTTGGAGAGAGACCGGGCGGCCTTGTAGACCATGCGGGACACAAAGGATCTTGGACGCTTTTGAGTGTCCTCCAAAAAGACACAGCACGACTGCTGTCAACACACACGTGCTGTCAAAGTACAAAAAGAAGCGCCGGAGGCAATGGGGATAGGGTGTTTCAGGGGGGAAGGTAATGAAGGTTCAGCTGCCAAGTTAAGAATCGGAAAGCAAAGAGTCGCTTCTTGCCAGGTCTGGCCTCTGCCTGTTCTGCAAGGGCCCGAGAGGCTTCCAATCCTGTCACAGCTACTTCCGGTGACAACTGGGCACCATCTTTGAACCTACTGAGGCAGTGACGAGCATCCTTCTTGGGATCAACTGCTTGCAAGTAGGACTTTCCAGCCTTCGAAGCCATGTAGCAACTTTCCAAGACCGGCAATACGCCTGAAGATTATGTTTTTAATTTTTGGGGGCCTCATACCAGGTGGTCGGCTGCAGGCCAACTTCTGGCGAGTGCTGGGCCATGAGCACATGGATGGGATTGGTGTTGAAGTAGCCTAAGAGAGCAGCTTTCAACAGCAAAACCGCGGCTGAAATCTGCTGAAAGTTGAATGGACCTCAAATGTGTGCTTTTTGGCAGTTGGACGCCTTTGCATCTTCTAAGCGTGTTCAGCCCGTTCAAAACAAGTTGCTATAGCGAAGTCTGGCAAGTGCTGCTTTGTACGACCTGGCGGCGGGCCATGGCGGACCATGCCCCGGCAGGTGGTGCAAACGTGCCGCGGTCTGAGGATGTCTGAGAATCAGGCTCGCTTCTAGTCGCGTAGAGGAAACGAATGCTGTGGTGGTGGTTCAGAGCCTGCCCATCGCATGCTCCCGGAAAAAAATCACGCAAAATGCACAAGCATGCGCATGCAAGCGCACGCCAGCGCAGCTTGAAGCGGGAATGTTCGGAACGAAAGAAGGATGCTTAAAGTGCGAGAAATGATGTACTGTACCCGTATGATCTATACAGTCTATACATGTCTCCTGTCTTGTAGATGTTTTTTTAAAAGGAACACGTCAAGAACGTCCGACCTTGGACAGCAAGAACAGATAGAACGCACAGCTGGCCAGGAAGGTGGCCACACAAATCGGGATCGAGGCGATCAGCTCCTGAGGTGACCAGAAACCGGTCGGATGGACGTTGTTTGGGGTCTCAATCTAGAATCTAGGACCATGGAGTGTGTGACAATGTGTGTGTATGTATATTCAAATCATTTCATACCTTCAAAGCAGAAAACCGCCTTGAACTCTTAGAACAGAACTTCCAGACCGACCGACGTAATTAGTCCTCATCCCTCCCACATGTCCATGTTCCGCCACACCGCGGACGCCCTGCACGTCCAAGGCGCGAACTTCAAGGCTCTACAAACCCACGCAGCAGAGGTCACCGCAAGCTGCGAGACGGGCAGTGCCCAACCTGAGAGTCTCAGAAACCGCCACGAGAGACGACCGGTAGCACGAGGGGTGAACGGAGAGCATGGGTTTCTCAGCTCATGACCAGCCAAGACCGCTTTATCTAGCCGAGGAGTGGTGAAGAAGGTCTCCTTTGATGCCCTGGAACGTCCAAAAAGTGCTGCAGAAGTGTGGGGTGTCTTCCGGGAAAAAAGGGACACCGCTAGGCACAGGCCACGCATTTCCAAGCATGTTCAAGCTCTCCGGCCTGAAATGGATGATGCGCTGCGCACAATACATCACGCAGCCTTGTTCCAGCCGCGTGTCCAATTACTCACTCATGGACTCACTCTGAAAGACATCCGAGAGTGAATCCCCTGTTTGGAAAACCTACTCCAAATATCGCCAAATCTGAAAGAAAATGCTTCCATCGATTTGGACGAAAAAAAACACATGTATATACAAGAAGAAGAAGAAGGAGGAGAAGGAGAAGGAGAAGGAGAAGGAGAAGGAGAAGGAGAAGGAGAAGGAGAAGGAGAAGGAGAAGGAGAAGGAGAAGGAAGAAGGAAGAAGGAAGAAGGAAGGAGGAGGAAGAAGAAGAAGAAGAACATCGCCAAGACACACCACAGGACCAAAGCAGCGCATAAGACCCGGGATGCACATGAGCCTGGTGGCTCAGCCAGAACCTCGCGAGGCCAAGGACGGCGTGAAGCCGAGCCGCATGCCCAGTCATGCCGAAAAAGTACAAAAAACTAGGGATGTAAACTGATGTAAACACCTTGGAGAAGAGGATATCTTTGGTATAAGAATTTGCATGATCTTTTCTTTAGGACTATGGGCTACCATAGCGACGACTCTCCTCAAGGTCCAAGGCTCCAGAGGGAAGAATGCACAGCAGGTCAGCTGAATATGACTAGCCTCAGGTGAGCTGTTGAAGCTCGCATACCTTTCTTACCTCCCATCATCCCTGTCGTCACTCCTTGGAATCTCTGTTTTGACCGGACGCTGCCGGGTCCACTGTTCTGTTAGTATCTTCTACTCAGATCGCTCACTTGCAGTTTAGTGGCATAGTCCCAAGGCAACCAAATCCTTGGAGTTCAACAGCTCGGAGATACGACAGCTCCGCATGGAACAACAGCGGGTAAGTACGCGCAACGCGGCGCGTGGCGTGTCTGCCCAGCCACTCATCCGGTTGGAGCATCTTCTCACAATCACGGCCCGACATCGATGAACCCATCAACCCCGTGCGGATCACAAACACGGCCTGAGGGTACCGGACGAAGGCCGAAACGAATATGTGTTCTTTTTCTTTTCTCTTTGTTTCCACCAGCGATGGCCTCCAACCTACTAGCGATGACCTCCACCCAACAGCGATGGTCCAACCCAATAGTGTATTTTGGCAATGAGGTGACCCAGCTTATTGCACTGCCTTTCGTTTTGCCAATGAGGTGATGGGTGGAGGTTCGGTCCATAATGAGTCCGCCTGCCAAAGAGTCAATGGGACAAAGCAGAAGGAGAAGATACACGATGAAAAAGTCCCTGTGAGGAACATTTTCAAGACCTGAGAGTTGCGACTTCAGCCAGGGACTGTCCGCAAAATGGGAAAAACAACTACACCTGAGGGACCCGCTGCATCTGCAAGAGAGGCTTCTCGCGATAGCTCCGCAGATCTTTCAAGCGTTCTTCCAGCTGTAGCAAACATATTTTTCTGGCAAAGGGGAAGGCAAGGTCCGTCAAAGGAAAAAACTGAAGGAACATATGAGAATATCATGACCATTGCGTATGCCCCCAAAAAATACACCCTGGCTCGTAATCCTTGCACTTACAGGTGTTTTTCTGTGTGGAAAATGTTTCCTGTTCCTCTGCCCGCTCCGCTCCGCGCCTCAGGTTGCCCCACTGCCGCGAGCTTTTGCGCGGTGAGCAGAACCAGGCTGAAGGTGTTCAACAGAACGAGCAAGGTTCGCGCCTCGGGATGTGATGTTTTCTTTCGGCCATGGGTTTGAAGGACGGCCAAGGCATAGAAGTGTGAGTGAGTGAGAGTGAGTGTGAGTGAGAGTGAGTGTGAGTGTGAGCGTGTGTGAATGTGAGTGTGAGTGATGAGTGAGTGTGAGTGTGAGCGTGTGTGAGTGAGTGAGAGTGAGAGTGAGTGTGAGTGAGAGTGAGTGTGAGCGTGTGTGAATGTGAGTGTGAGTGATGAGTGAGTGTGAGTGTGAGCGTGTGTGAGTGAGTGAAAGTGAGGGTGAGGGTGAGAGTGAGAGTGAGAGAGTGGGCATTTGAGAGCACAAAGTGCTGCGCCTGCGCCGAAATCTGCACTTCGAGGATCACAAAGTACTGCGCCTGCCACGAAATCTGTACACCGAGGTTCAATGCACCTGCTACGAAATCTGCACTTCAAGGTTCACAAAGCGCTGTACCTGCCACGAAATCCGCACATCGAGGTTCACAAAATGCTGCACCTGCCACGAATTCTGCGCATCGAGGGGTGGGCAGGGCGGCCTTGGAGCTTCAGCTGGCCAGTGGCTTTCTTGAAAGCCGCTTGGACATCCTGGGCCTGGCAGAGGTCCTTTCGGAGGTTCTCCGGCAAGCTGGGCGAGTGCTCTCGCAACAGGCCCTGAACCATTTCTTGCCAGAGAGGTCATCAGGTTCACCTGGAGAAGGGGCCTGTTGGCCACTTGTCCGTCCGTGAGCGCTCGGAGGCCGGCGGCCTGGCGGGGTGCCTTTGCCAAGACCTTTAGAGACCATCATGGTTCGGGGGTCCATTTCAGGTGGGGTCTCCATATCTGGGGTGGTGGTCAACCAACCTGTGCACTGGAAAGAGCGGTGCCAAGCAAGGCGCTGCTTGCAAGGATGGGTTTTCCCGGTCCACCGGCCCCAAATCCAGGATCTGCATTTTCTCCCGACACATTTGAGATACCCATTCATGGGCACTTCATATGGGACCTGGGGGGTTATCCAGGCCATTTGCCTGCCTACCCCGGTGTGCTCAGAAACCTGCTAAAATTGCATCCCGATCTCTTTTTTTGACTATAAAAACACCAGACCTAGACCAATGACCAGGCTGATCCTAGCAGCAAAATTGTCCAGCTAGGAGTTGCTGGAGCAAGACTTCCTACTGCCATCTTTCTGCTGGCCAAGGGTGCAAACATAGCAAGCGTGCAGTGTTACAATGCACCACTACTACTCAAATCTGCTCAACAACAAACAAGCCTGAACAACAACGACCCTCAAGCGGTTACATGAAACCATCGTCCTCTACTCAGCTACATTCAGCTACCAATGCTCTGTCGCTCTAGCCAAGTGCTGCTCAACGGTCCAGAGAGCAACAAGACAGCCATGAACCACTTCCACATAGAATGAAGTCTTTCCACCATTGTGTGTGTGTGCCCCCCTCCGTTTCCAGGAGTTCTCCTGTTACTTTTAAACGGACCAAGCAGGATACATCGTCGCGATGTATCTGAGGATATGGAAATGGGACGCCATTTCCACGTACCTGCACTCCTACCCAGGGAAACAGAAGGAAATGGTTCTCGGCGCACCTTTCCTTCTTATGACCCTTTTCTACACTAATGGGGCGATTCGAATGTCTCGCCCCCTAGCAACAAGCTGGAAACTTGATTTCCTTTTCTAGCTATTTTCTACCCTATTTGAAGCGATTCCTTTGGTCTCGCTTCATGATGTAACTTACTCCATTATGCACGGCCGTACTTCGGGACCGCTACGTATTCAGTAACTAAGATGTTGTTCTAACAAATGTTCAAACAATTCGGTTTTGCTGACACTGCCGCCTTACCGTTCCCTCATTCCTTTCACTGTGGATTCTGGCATTGGATGAACCCTTGTCTAAGTGTGTGAGAGAAGGCCAACCACTTTGAAAGTCATTTTCAAATCTAAGCTGCCGACTGCAAAGGTTACTATATCAGCTTGATCTTTTCGCTTGAAGCCAATGCACGGCACGCCTGCGAGCAGAAACTTTGCATCTTCTAGCCGCCTAGCCTTTTATTCCCAGCTACTAGTTGCCCAATTACCCCGGTTGTTCTTCTGTGTGTTTCATCTCAGGCCCTTTTCTTCGGAATTGGCTAAAAGGACGTGCCCTCTAATCGGGGGCTGAATGTTGGTGAGAAACACGCATACCGAAAAAGAGCGCACCACGGAATCCGTTGCCTAGCCACAAGAGGTTCGCAATGAGGTTGTTGCCAACCTAAACACATCGGCTGGTGGGCTTGCAATCTCAAAGTGATTTGGTTTCTGCATGTTTCTGCTGGTCAATTAATCATGACAGGCCAAGGTTGTGCAAACGTGATTGCATCAAAAAAAGGCGAGCAGCGCCAACCACAATTCCCAAGCCAGATGTCCTTGGCCAAATCAACGGCAAAATCCACGGACCAATTCAACAGCCAAAACGAGCCGCAGCAGAAAGCATAGGCTCAGCGCTTAACGCCAAACAAGCTCGGCTCAGCCGCTCTTAACGCCAAGGCTCTGAAAGGGCGACGGCGGTTTGCCGGCTTTCTGGGCGTAGCGCACCACGGAGGTGGTGAGCGGAATATACCTCGGTCTCGGCGGTTTGGGATCACTTCAGCACCGCCTCCCTTCCCCCCCCCCGTTTGGTGTCGCGCGTCAACGACTGGCGGGAGGAAGACCCACGGTCAGTCCAAGCCGCACCCCGCCGTAGAAGACCGCAATCGCCAGCAGGAAGCCGATGAGCCCGATGCCAATCCGAACGGCCAGTTGGAGATGGGTGGTGCCCATGTGTTCCCAGATGATCGACGTGGGCTCACTGGTGACCTCGCGGATCTCCAGCTCGCAGCCGCGGAAGCTGCGGTCCCGGCGGGTCTTCTTGGTGGAAGACGACGGCGAGAGTGCGTTGGGCACCGGCGAGCCGTCGTGGAAGGAAAAGAAGGAGCCGGTGCGTTGCAAGCCCCTTGGCTGGTCCCAACTGGAAAAGAAGGATTCCACATCTGCTTCCTGTTTCATCACTACAAAGGCTTCACCACTACATCTCATCTCCGACAACCACGTCTGAGTGCTGGAAGGATCTAAAGACGTCTCGTCGCCCTCCTCGCCCTCTAGGAGGGCAGGCAGCTTGCTTGGGGAATGTCGCACCGTCCGCCGCCGGCTGCCCGGCACACCCAAGGCAGCAGTGAAAGTCTCCTCCTGCTGCTGCAAGTGCTCGTCGAGTTTCTTCACGATCAGATGACGCAGCTCTCCATTGTTGAAACCTAAGCAGTTGGTCTTGCCACGGATATCGTAACAGATCGAGACCCCTTCGATGGGCCGCCCAAACTTCTCCTCGATCCATCTCTGGAGCTCCACGGGATTGGTGGCATCCGGTGGAAGCCCTGACAGACCAAAGCAATAGTCTTCCATTCGCGTGTGCACCCGGTCATAGGTGCGCGCGGCGGATGCCTGCCATCGCGCAAAGATGATGGAGGCGGGCAGAATCGCCAGCCACAGGAAGAGCGCAATCAAGGCGCGCCTCCGGGCATAGCCGATTACCGCGGCCTCGGATTCTTCATTACCACCATAGCCACATTGCAAGGTATCCCACTGCTGCATGCCAAACAAGCCTTCTGAGAATCTCAAAAGTGACCAGCCAATCAATGCTACAGCCCCTACGAAAATCAAGTGGTTGTAGTAAAGGGCCAGGCCGACTCCCACGATGTTGCGGGAATGAACATTCACGTTCAAGGGGTACAAAGGTGCTCGCGCGTAATAGATCTCAGATCCTGGTGCTGCATGCCGGTCAGGGATGGCCGCTTTGGTTTCCACATCGTGAGGCAAGCATCTCTCACGGTGTTCCAAACCCCTCGTCAGCGATTCTGAGTTCTTGTTGCAAGTGATGCTGAGCAATGCTGCAATGGCCAAGAGGATTCCAAGAATGGCACCAAGTACTAAGTAGGTCTTCAGAAGAAGCTTGTCCAGAAGATATGTGCAAAGACCATCCTTCTCGAGTGCAAAGCCTTCTTTGCATCGCGTGCATTGCAAGGTCGTCGCTTGCCCATCGATTTCGACATAGTTACATTCTTCACATCCATCCGAAGGGCAACTTTCACACTTCAAGGTCTCGGGGTTGGGGAAGGGCAAGTCAGGCCTGTACGCTCCACAGTCTTGTGGTGGTACACAGGCGGTTCCACAAGGAATATGATTCCCAAATCCGTCCCAGCTGGAATATGCACTCATCTCCAAAAAGGGGCAGCTGCTTGGACATAAGAGTGCAATATCAGCTGTCTTGGTGCAATTGGTCAGGACCATGCGCCTACAAAACAGCTTGGCTGCTATCTCCATATCAGAAGGATCCCGGATCATGAAAATGGACCCATCTTGCTGCAGGAATCCGCAGTTGGAGTTGCTGAGCTGCCACAACGGGGCGGGGAAACTTGCATTTTGCAGTAGAACCAGTGGCTGAACCTCCAAGTTGAGATCCATCTGCGTTCCATCCCTTTCCAAAACAGGTCCACTGGCTCCACTGGCCGTGGATAGAACACATAGTCTCCAAAGGCTTGGCACACATCTGTGTTGTCTCATCCCATCGGACGCCACCGTTTCGGACGCTTCACACCCCGACTTCACCGGTCACTCCCTACCGCCTCGACCGGTCACACATGGCGCGCGCGACGGGCGCGACGCGCTTCCACGGTCACTCGACCGGTCGGTGGCGGTGTCTGTCGGCTGTGGGGTTGATCTGGCTGTGTTGATGTGTTTGCAAAGGAGGAGAGAACCAATTCACCTGAAACGAAGGATCCGATTCACCGGAAAAAAGGTGCTAGTGGAAACGCTGGCCAACAAAGGTTGAAACCAAAAGTGGAAAAGCATCTTTCTGCACGGGTCAGCTTGCTCGGCTTTGATTCAGCTTCGGCCGATTGGAGCCCAAAGGTGGTGCGGTGGTGTTCGTTCAATTCGAGCCTGTTCATTTGAAAGCCATTCCATGCCGGGCAAAAACACACACAAACTGTTGGGAGTGTGTTTAAGCCATTCCATGTACATGGCCTTCGCAGCAGACAGTGTAGGACTGGAAGCTGAAATTTGAAGCCTGCCATTTGGCACAAAGTACTGACAAGTTCTTGCAACACGAAATGAGTGAACGATCTACACTCTACCCGTTTCAAAGGTGCACATTTGACCAGCAGGCAAAACTACAACACAGAAAGCTGCTGGTGTTTAAGTGTCTTTGATCTTCCACCGTTTCGTTCTGTTCTTGTTTTACCAGTAGCTTTGTGAGATATCGTGTCAGGTGTGGAAAACAAACGAGATCCACTGAACGAAGTGACGTCACACCATGAGGGGGGAAGGAGGCGGCGCATAGCGCCGCAGAGCCACTTTCAATGACATGCCTCCTCCTTGCCACCCCACCTTCAAGGTCCCCACATTGCCCCCTGGCTTGCCCCGTTGAACAAACTATATATATAGTATAGACTATATTACAAATTTATATATACCAATATATATATAGACTATATATTACAAGTATACTTGTCAATAAATATATTGTGAATTCTTTCGTTTTTCAAAGTCCTTCACATCCGACTAAGCTCAGCCGGGTCAACTTGTCCCCCTGTAGAGCGCGTCGAACAACATCATCCAAGTTGGTGAAGAAAGGAAAGAGCTCCTGCGCAAGAGCTCACTGCTGGGACAGAAACGAAATCTGCTCCGAACTCACTCTGCAGAAAATGGGGCTGAGCTGCCAGAGCACAGGAGATCGGTCGTGTGTTGCAGGTGCCATTCCATCGATCGGTCGGGAACAGAGGGATGTTTTCCCGTCCCCCCACCACAACTCCTCGGGCAATTTATCAACAGAAGTGCGTGCGAAGGCATCCACCTCGCGAGCGACCATGGCCAGGAATACTGAGTATGTATGTAAGCTTAGTATGAAAGGCATGTCAATTCCAAGAGTAACTAAGCTCACTGCAAACAACATGAGCAAGCGTCGGCTTGAAACCTACACGAGTCCAGCAGAAATCTGGCCTTTTTTGGTCCAACAGTCCAACAGTCCAGTGAGTCATTTAAAAGCACAGCCAAACCTGTCGTTCTTTGCCAGATCCAAAGTCCGCCAGCCTGGGACCATAATTGAGTCAAACATGCCATCGAGCCGATGTGAAAAAAACTTGGCCAGGCCAACCAAGAATCGGCTTGCTTATGCCACAGCATCAGCATGTCATAGTTGGATGCAAAATCATCATCCTCACGCAACCTGTGAGCATGTCGTTGAATGCTTCGCTGATGTTTGGTCAACGCTTCTTTCGCTTCTGGGATTCCGAGCAATGTGTAAAAAAGAGCCTCATCAGTAAGGTGAATGTAAATCGGGATCTGCCTCCAACACAAGGGAAGGGCCAAAAATTGCCAAACAAAACGCCGCTTGATTCTCCAAGCATGGCGCATTTCGGCCTAAGCATGAAGTCCAGCCACTCCATCAGTTTGTTAGCCTCCTCATGGACCAACAAGAAGGTACCCACCTCAGTCTGCAGCTGAGCCGCTCTGGTTTCAACCACCCGCACTAGCAGGGTGAATGAATGAGGGAAGTGACTTGGAGGTGGAGAAAATCCAGTGACTTGGAGTGTCACTGGAAGAAAGAAACATGGCCCAGCCCATCGCTCAAAAACGCTGTACCAGTTGAAGGTCGCAGATTCAGCCGGCGTGAGAAGGGCAAACTCCAAGCAACCGCCAAAGGAATAGCAAAAATGAATAATAGGCAAAATGTCTGAGGATCGCTCTTTGATGAAACATGCTGATACACAATGTTGATGCTCCAAAGCAGTAAGACACATTAAGAAACCACGCCATCCAGGTACATTCTCGGCTCACCTGAGCACAACGTTTTCCATCGAGTCACTCGAAAGAAGCAGCGACATGACCAAGTGCTGGGCATCAACGGGCTCAGTTGACAGGGACATGGACACCGAGGCAGCTTGTGTCCAGCGCCAGCATGACTGCAGCGAGAACAACAAAAAGGAAAACGTGCTTCTCTGCTCCTGCCATCTATGTCTATCTTCGATGTGAAATTGACATCCTGTGCACATCACCTTTCGCCTGAAAGAGCTCCGCTGGGCTCAGCCAGCCTCCTTTGAAGGCCCAAAGCGAATCCTCGACTCACCGAGTCGAGGCACTCGCCCGGCGCGGGCGATGCACAGCTCGCTCGCTCGGGGCTTCCGGGCAGAGCTCGACGTGTGGAAATCCATCGCAGGCAAGCTCGGTGGAAAGGTCCCGACCTGACTGGATCGGGGGTCGCGAGGCGAGGATCCAGGTCGCCTGTAACTAGAACGCGGATCCGGTCACTGCGGCGGAATCGTTGATAGTCTGGCTGGCGCTGGACTCCATGTAGAACAGATCTCCATATGCCATGGGGCCATAGCTATGAGCCCTTCTAAGCTATGAAAGGTCGTTCCGTTGAGATGACGACATCGATGCACTGCAGCATGGGCGGGTCCTCTCGATGCAGGTCAACACGGACTGTGTCCGCATGGCAGTGATGGTCCGTACTTGGGAAGAGTACTTGGGGTCAGTGTCTGGTACCATTGACCTATAGTGGTTGTACACTTGGGGGTATCCTCTCTATTAATCAACCAACTAAGAGTAGAAGCCCATCTATGGATAATGGCACAGCAGCGACGACGGCGGCAGACCTCATGACGGCGGTAGCAGCAGCGATGGTTTTCCTCGGTGTGATGCTCACGAAGATGGAAAGAGTTCTTCCATGAAAAGAGTCTTCCGTAGTCTTTCCGTCTTCGAACACCGCTTTGAATTCGTCCAACGTGCGGGGTGAATCCTTCAGACATCTGCGTCAACTGCCGGAAACTGCCGGAAACGAAACTACGCCATGGTGATTCAATGTGATTCATATCTCATCTTCTGCTCTTCACCGCCCCTTTCCTCTGCTCTCAAAAGATCTTCCTCCGAGCATCTCCAAGCTGAGGATAGTCTGCAGTACGGTGAAATTGGTCGCAGTAGTCATCCAGACCTTAGGTGAAGTTAGACATCGACCGGCCCAGAGGATGAAAAGCTGTCACTGAGAAGGAGACAAAGAAAGGAGCAAAAGGGAATTTCAACACTGGAAAGGAGAAGCCAACTGACTAACCAGCCAGTACCTTCATGTTTCTTCATTCACTAAGTCTTTGCTCAAATCCCTTTTTTTCTGAAGGAACATCTCTTCTCATGCAAACACATCTCTCCCTTTCTAACTCGGCTCTTCCAGCACCACCCACGCGTTATGCTTCACCGCCCGCTGTCGCGCTGTGTCGTAGGGTCCATCGTCGATGGTGCGGCAGGTCGTTCTCCACCGAGACGCCACAATTGCACGGCAGGTCCCATGCTCGACCAGTGAAGATCTCCAGCTTCTCCGCCCAGCCGTGGAAGACCTGGGAGAAGGGACCGAGCTTCCACCACCGGTCGGTGGGATTTGGAGGGCGTTGGAGAAAAAAGAAATGGAACCGGCAAAAAAGCCCAAATGGTGTGAACTTCATGGTGAAAGTGATGAAGTGATGAAAAAGTAAGGGATTCTGAACAGCAGCTGGTGAAAAACATGGGGGTTCGAAGGATGTTTCTTTTCAGCTGGCCACTGAAATCGCAACCTCAGTGGCCAGCCTCGCAGCAGGAAAAGCCTTTGATTCCACAGGCCTCAGACACGAGACTCCGACTTCTTGCCGCGTCTTTCCGCCGACCATTTCTCCGCATGGCCTGCTGGCCATCAAAGGGTTTGCAGGCCACCTTCAGATTCAGCTTGCCAAGGGCTGCATGCAAAAGCTGCGACAAAAGGATGCTAAAGCAGTTGGAAGTAGAATTCAAAAAACCGAACAAACATCCAAGATCATCCAGATCGAGGTGTTGAGCCTTCAAAACGATGGCCTCCAAAACTCTGTGTTAATACGATTCACCAAGCTCAGCAACCCCCGATTCACGCATGTCTGGATGGCCTTTCCACTTCGGAGAAAGGCCTGGCCGTCGAAGACGCTAGGCATCAACGGCCACGAATCGACGTCCACGAGCGTCGGGAGATGGTGGAGCCTCATCTCTGCAAGCCATTTGACGCCCTGGCCAGTAGGCAAACCTCAACCGAAGTGATCCATAAAGTTCCCGTTTGTCATAAAGTTCCAGCTAAAATTCCGGTTTCACCATGTTTCACATGTAGATTCTTTTGCATGCGAAGATTTCGCCAAGTCTTCAGCTTGCAAGGTGGTTTCCACAGTGATCCCGGAGACCCCTTAGATCACCGGACAGTCCGCGAACAAAGGAACAAGAAGCTACTAGTAACAAGGGCATTGCTCCTAGGAACAAAGGGCATCGCTACTAGGAGCAAGCAGCTACTAGGTGGAGGCCATCGCAAGTAGGTTGGAGGCCATCGCTGCTAGGAGCAAGAAGCTATATACCAGTATTTTACACCTCCATGCTGCTCTTTCTGCGCGAGACGTTTTTGGTGCATCTCCACATGAGCTGTCCGAAGCATTAGGCATCCTGCTTGCAAACTTGACAGCACTCGATTGCGCACATCGGTGACATTCACCTGCAAACAGTTTCAAACACAAGGTACACTGCAAGGAGACCAAGTAGAAAATGACAAAACCGATCTCCACCTCCAAGATGAGAATGGGTGCAGATCGTGCCCTCACATCCTGTCGAGGCCGCTTTGCATCTCTAAATCCTGCCAACACCTTCTCAATGCCTCTCTCTCTCTCTCTCATCCGTATCTCTCATCTCCTCCAACAAATCATTGACATCATCAACTCGCTTCAGTCTCCAGGACATCAAAGCTTTGAACCTTCGAACCGGAACAACGGTCGTGCTTCGAATTCAATTCTGCCTGGTCACGCAGGCTCCGGAGCCCGGGTGAGTGGCTGGCCACGGACGGTTCATTCCGTGCCTCGGGTCCTCGGGCAAGGAGGACTCAACGATGCTCTCGTTGTAGTAGCGAAGCCTCCCAACGACGGGCTCTCGTTGAAGATGCGGAGCGGAAAAAAGACAACAAGGGTCGACGTACCGCGCGAGAAAAAAGAAACTCAGCAGGTGCTTTTGATCTCCATTGATCAGTCACGATTAACATCTATTAACTATTGTCCCCCATCTTGATGACGATGTTGCCTCATTTCATCCGAATGAGAAGAATGAGATCTTTCAAATCGGACAAATGACGACCAGGATCCGCATGGCTTGTGCCAGATCTCTGCGGCTGGGTGTCCCAAACAAGATCTTGGCGGATGCAAAGTGGTCCACGGTGCAGTCCTACGCGGACTACGCAGCCGGAGTGACTACACCACTACGTCTACGTGCACATGGAGATTCGGGTGTGTATGGTCTTCGGTGAGTCGTTGTGCTGGCGCGGAAGTGACATCCTCCAAATGCAGATGGTAGGCAGCATGGGCTGGGGAGTTGGAACATCTCATCGTCCTGCACCCACTGAAGGAATACCAAAAGACGTAGACATAATGCAGTGCAACATAATGCAATGTGTATATATATATATATACTGCAAAATTCATGCAAAACAATGCAAAACATAATGTGGTACGGTGTTGTCCAAAAAAGGGCACATCAGTTGCACCAACTGAAGACTGAAGACGAGGGCACGTTCGACGTTCGCATGTCTTTGAAGCTCCTGGGAAGCACCAAGCGGCGCTTCAAGGCCTTCACGAGAGCTGGAAGTATCTTCTTCAAGCAGAAAAGCTCAGCACATCGAAAAAAGAATGTAAAAACAAATACATAAATTAAAAAGAAAAGCACGCCTTAGCCAGTTCAAGCGCGGCTAACAAGACCTTGAAGTCACCTCTAAACGAGACCAACGGATCCGTTCTCCCACACGGCCGCCCGCGGCTCGGAACCGGTCCTACCTGTGCTCCACGGTGGACATCGCCCACGTCCGGGTTTGAGTCAGTGGGGTCCTGAAACCTTCCTTATTTTAAAAGTAAATGCTTTCTTTTCTGTTTTATTCTTGTTTCAAATAGCGAACATTGCTCCTAGTAGTAATGCCAGGAGCTACGTTCGTAGCGTCCGATCGCTCCGTTCGTAGCGATAACCCTTTGCTACACCCAAATGGGATCCGGCCTGCGAGGTCTTGCCCACGCGGATGATCATACTGCCTCACCGGAGCAGGAATGACGGGCCCAAGTCGAGTCCGGACGGTGGGTTGGGCGGGGCGTCGTTCGACATGACGCAGAAAACAGAGGGGACCGTTCGACTTGCAGCAGGGACTGACGAAATGAGTTCGTTCCTAGGATTCTTAGGCTTTGGGCTTCTAAAGGTCTGAAAAAATGAATGTGCCAAAAGTATAACATGTATAAATGTCTATATAGTCTATAGTCCAACAAGATCCAGGCTTGCATCCAATCCCAACTAAGCCCTTCACAGAAAACGCTCGGAGGGGAACCTTTTCCTCCAATCATCCACAAACCAAAGACGCCTGGCACCATATCAGTCAAAGATTCGAGGAGATTGAAAGGATGTCTGCTTTGCCGCCATGTTTTTCCCCAAACAAACAGGTTTCAAAGGGTCTGCAGGATTCAAAAGCTTCCTCACCTGGGAAAAGTCATTGAAGAAACACACAGAAACCAACTTCGCCGCTTGAAAACCGGCTTGCGCTTGCTCGCTTGCTTTTCCAAAAAAGACCAAGCCAGGCGGGTCTTTTCTTTTCGGAAGACTGTTCGACTCATCCGAGCCCTCTCCTGTCTCTCAAAAAGTAGATCTTTTCGTCCACTCCGTTGGCATGGACGAAGCTGGGTTTCGGCCGATCCGAAGCGGCCTGAAGTGCCGGGGCTTCCGATCTGCCATGGAGGATCCAGTGTTGCGCTCCGAAAGAACCACCGGTGCGCTCCAGTCCGACCTGAAAAGCCTGAACAATTGGTCAAAATGAGGGGCCCAACCCATCCATACTCATCCCCATTGAAAGGTTGAAATAAGAAAGAATGGCTTCAGGATGTTTCAGGACCCATCAGTTTCAAGAATTCATCACACCACTGGCCGTTCCACTGGTTTTTGTTGGTCCCATCCTGATCGACTCCTTCGGTCTGGCCGAAAAAACGCGTCAAACTGGCCGTTCCACTTGGATGAAGTTGCGGAAATCTGGGAGCCCAACTCGCCAGAAGTAGTTCATGCCATGCATGATCACCTGTGTCCACTGAGGCGCGGATCTTTCCAAAAAACCACCGAAAACGAAACGACCTGCCTCCGGAGAGAGCACCTTGAACTTCAAACACAAAGGAAAGAACTTCAAGCAACCACATCATGGTCGAATCATGGTCCATTCTATTTTGCTTCGATTCCTTGAAGGGCATCCGAAAAAGGCTCCGAACCAATATGTGTGTGTTTCCATGTGTTTCCTCTTTTTTCCAGTGTTCACCGCTCCCACGCTGGGCAGCGCCCCCCCCATGCTTCAGTTCCACACTCGGATTCTCAGCGGCGCCTAGAGAGCGCGAACGCCGCGGACCCGGCGAGAAGGGGGAAGCTTCCCACTCTAAGTGTGTCAGAAGCGGAGGGGCTTTACAGAGAGGTTTCTTTCCAACCCGTTCCACACACAGGGAAGTCTCAGAGCTGCACAGGTCGCTCAGAGCTGCACAGGTCGCGCCACGAAGCTTCGAGCATGGCCGCGAGAGCCAGTTGCTCGGGCCTTCCCGCAACGAGCGACGTCCGACGCCGAGCGCGGAGGAGCTGAAGAGGTCTGAGAGGCTCACGGCAGTTCAGGAAGGTGTACCTTAACCATCAATGGCGAACGAAAAACTTGAAGCATGCTCGATGTCATCGTGCGCACGATGTCATCGTTGTAGCGAATCTCAACTGTGGATGGTCTTCGCATTAGGTGCATCAGCCTCACAGGAGCAAACTTGGGCATAACACATCGGGAGCGCGAGACACTAAGTTGCCTCTGCACCTCTCCTGCAGCTCTCCATCAAGCCTGAACATCTTCAAAGAGCCTTAGAGCCTTGCACAAACTTGTTGAAGACCCGTTGATCAAAGAAGTCGCGCCTGACATCCGCTCCCCAGTGAATTGGATTCGCATGTGTGGCTTTCTTTTGACATACACAATGATGATACGAGCATCGAACCCGGATAGTAAGGCTAGAATCATGCCAAAACCCGGGTGAGGTGGTCCAACAAGGTATTCTGATGCTTGAGTTCTTACCGGGCAAAGTCTTGTTCATGTTTCCAACATCGACACAATCCCGAAACACCCGCAGCAGCTGACCAACAGCAACCATACCAACACCCCCGTCTCGAAAGTGGAGGCACAATCCCAAAGACATCCTGAAAAGACAGCACCTGCCAACAGCACCCACACCCCTGTCTCCAAAGCGCCAAGAGTCAACTGTCAACCTGAAAAGAAAACCTCAACTCGCTGGTCGCCCCCAGCCGGGCCAAAGCTCAGCTCGTTGCGGAAGTCCATGAAGATGAGGCCCAGCAAAATGCTCCAGAAAGGAAACCTCAACCACGCCGACCGAGTGACTTTAACTCGACGGCTGCGACGATGCACCCTGCGAGGTCGACGCACGCCATCTGTGCGAAAACCCACGTCATCTCCGTCGACGGCGCAGCATCGAATCATCATCTGTACATTGAAAGCAACTGCGTTTTTGTGACCGCACGCGGCAGAGCGACGAATAGCATAGCGCGACGGCATAGCGCGCGCTGTGGCGCTTCATCTCTATCCCTGCAGAAAAGTGCGCCAATCCTGATATCAGCAAGTATCAGCATGTGTTTGGCTTATTCCATCTCATTTCTTCTCATTTCTGTATATACCGGTGGCCGATGAACCAGGATGCTCATTGCTCCTGGATCTGAGTCCAGTCCTAAAAGGTCGATGCTGAAGTCAGGCGTGAAAATGGCATCAGCAGCGGTTTTTTCGCGTTGCTGATGTGAGGGATGCTCAAAATCAACGCTGTGGAGTGGTCAGTGAGAAGCTTGGTCAGTGATTCGCCTGGAGGCTATCCTAACCCAAGCATGAACTGTTGATCATCCCTTAACGTCATTCCAATGCGGGTACGCTCCAAAAATGCCAATAGAAAACGACAAGGACAAACAGCTATTATACAGTAATTACACCATGTTCAAAGCTCCCCCCCAAAACCTGAGGGGACGTTTAGAAGTGTATGATATCATTTGGATCATCTATAATCCCCAGGTGGCATTTCTTTGGCTGCACCCAAGTCATGGAATGTCTATACCGCTCAAAAAGGCTAGCCGCTAGCCTCTCCCTGCTGAAAGCGGCCGAAAGCAGCTTCTTCTGGTGGGTAGAAGCCACCCATGAGCTGAACGGCCTTCGAGTGGAAGGCCTCACGCACCACGGTCCCGCCCATGATCATCCGGTTCGGCGAGCTCTTCTTGCCAGCCCGGCCGTGTAGAACCCTCCAATTGTCCAAGACCAGCATCTGCCCAGCAGACATGGGAACCTCCACTTCGAACTCTTTGTCATGGATCATCTCATTCCAAAGCAAGTATGCGTCGTACCAAGACTCGAACGTGTCATAGGGCACAGTGCTGGGAGTTCGAAAGACTTCGTTGAACTGCACTCGGATCAAATTGCCTTGTTCATCTGTTTGGATGATCGGGCTGCGAGTGGCCAGAAGCATGGATTGTGTTCCCATCTGTGAGGAATCCACCCGAGATTTCACAAAGTCTCGCTCTTGGCAGTTCCCATAACTAGCCAAGAGATCGAAAGCTTTTGGATCTCTCTCTCTCAATGCTTCAGCGACTGCATATCCATCCACCAGCGTGTTCACTCCAGAACCTTCAACGTAGTTGATGACGAGGAGCAAGGCGGGAATGCCATGGGCTGGGACAGATTGATCTGTATGGTTGTTGAGGCGCGTCTGTTGAGCATAGCTCACACTGACAGCACCGGCCTTTCTCTTGATCACCCAATTAGGCTCATCTCGGGCAGGGTCCTTCTGCATGCCGCCAAGACAATTGTCCACAAAGTCGAGCAAAATGCTGGAGTCCTCAGAATGTGGGACATTGTCCAGGATCACAACGCCATGCTCCATCACAGCCTGCATCATCTCCAAGTTGGCAGAGTCTGAATGTCTCACCGCATGGTAGTCGCGATGCTCAAACGGATTGACTCCGACCTGGTTCTTCCACAGTGCCTTCATGGACGCATCAGGCGCCGGTGCATTCGAGAATCCGGAATAGCCTCGAAGCCACCGGAAGTCCTCGTTCCGGGGATGATGCCGTTGGCCCCCGAGCGCCTTCCCCGCGATGGGCGCATACATCCGAAGGAAGCCACTGGAAAAGTGGCTGGGGGCATCTCCAATTTGTGGATCCCTCTTCCAGGTCACTTCAAGACCGTCTTCGCAGACCCGCGCTTCTTGGACCTCACCCCGGCTATGATGCCCTTCGGGGGAGAATGCAATCTTGTCGAGGTATCTTTCACCTGCCTGCTGAGAGACCACCATGGCATCTCGGCATGCATCACGAAGCCATAGCCCATGGAGCTGGAAGGCAGAGCCATCGGAAAATGCCACGTGGATTTGCTTGCCCATATTCATCAAGGATGCTGCCACGCACTTGGCCCCTTCGAAAGGCGCGACGGCCGCATGGACGGCTGCAATGGTGGACTTTTGCTTCCCCGCAGAGCCCGATCGAAGAGCCTGGAGCGGTCGGCTGAACCTCGAAATCATTGGCCCTGACAAGAATCAAGGATCGAAGATCGAGGATCTGGGACAGCAAAGGGTCCTTCTTGAGCTTAACTCAGCAGGCAAAAGCAAAAGCATCAAGGTGAAAGGCATGTGCTCTTAAGGAAGAAAAACACTCCTGGTTGACTTTACGTCATGGGTCATCAAAAAAATAGTCTGCAAATCGTGTCTCAGTTGGGAGCCAGAAAGCAAAACAGCTTGGCATCGCCTGGAACGGATCAAGTCTCAAACTCACTGACCATGTTCTTGGAAGATCATATGTGCGATATGGACCCCTCCACCCAATCGCTCGCCAACCAAGTTGAGGCCTTTCCCATTTCCATGAAGAAATCCAGTGTTGAGATTCTCCTCCGGCCTGTCGAGGTCGCGCCGCCGGTTCACTGCGACAGAAAAAACACGACCGGACACGGTCCATTTCCAACATCCGGCCAATCGCCTGAAGTGAGGCTGCCATAGATCACGAGAGGGAAAGAAGTGATCCGTGCCCGTTTCCAGGTCCACATCCTCCGTGCGACAGCAGCGGGAGCGAAGGGAAGCGGGAAGCCAGTGGAGGCCAAGTGGCTCCCCAGACTGTTTCGAAGGGATCGGCTAGGAGCACGCTGTCCGCATCGAGAACTATGACCTGGTGATGAGTTCAACAACTGCGTGTGAAAACAAATCTAAGCTCTCGGTTAGTAGAAGATGTAGAAGATGTAGAAGTGATTTCACCTTGAATGATCTTGTAAGTTTAGAGCGATATATATATATATATATATATTTGTAGAGAGAGAGAGAGATAGATGGTGAGGGTGAGAGTTTGGGTAAGATCCAGCTTCACCACCAGGGGGTCCGCGACCGTGGCGTGGAAACCGGGTCTTGCCGCGACCCACCTCGAGTCCCAGGACCAGCCCGGTGCACAGCAAGCGTTTCTTGAAGTCCCAGCCTTAGATCAACCTTGCCTGCCTGATGTGTGCTTTCTCCATCCATTTCTATAGATGTTCAGGTCGGGACGGTCGACCTCTGTTGAGTTCCTGCATCAAGTCATTCACTGGATCCTGCTCATCCACTTGCTTGAGCTTGGAAAGCTGACGTAGCTAAGCAAAAGGCTCATGATACGCCAGGACCTTAACAAAGCGAGCAAAACACCTTCAGTGCGCAGTGATTACGGGCGTGTAGCAGGAACTTCTTCGTCGCATACAGTGCTCAGAAACTGCCTCACTGGGTTCAAGACGCAAATGTCGTGCTTTTTGAGCTCTATTTCTGCCACCTGATGGTCACATGCTCAGCGATTTGGACCTTCACAACTTCACAGTTTACAAACAAACTGAGAGCTCTGCTTGATCGACCGCCACAATGCAAAAGTGCGGGAAAAGGCCTGGGCCGTGGCTGCCAATCCAACTGCAGCGAAAAGCCACGAGAATCACGAGAACTGCCCAATTCAACGAACTCTACCCGTGCTCTGCTCGAAAAAGTTGATGAACTCTGACTGAAAGAGCAGAGTGCGCACGCTTAACCTCCTGAGCTTGCCAACTCGGCACGTGGAACTTCACTGAGAGGGCCAGGTTCACGGCCAGCTGCACAAACCTCGGGACCCAAAAGGACGGAACTTCTGTGAAGAGTCAGGTCAGGTCAGGTCCAACTGCCATTGGAGATTTTTCGTGTTCATTCCACCAGGGAACTGCTCCTCACCGGAGGTCCTGCGAAGGTGGAAAGCGCATGAAAAACACGGCGCTGGACATCGAACCCGATGGAAATGCGCACGAACTGCTGGTGGGACGGAAGACGTCGGGTCGTGGGACGGAAAGTCTCGTCGCTCCATGTGAGGACGAGACGCCCACGAGGACCTGCTCGAAGAGTCCTCGGCCGGAGAACACGGCCGTCCGAGGCCGAATTACGATGGCCTCCACCCTAGTAGCTTCTTGTTACTGGTAGTAATGGCCTCGATGGCCTCCAACCTACTAGCGAAAGGCGAGAACCGAGAACCGAGGCGCAAGGCGTCCCAATCAAGACCATGTAGTACAGATCTCGACTGGATCTCACTGGGTAAGGAGCTGTAGACCTCAAGACGAGAAAGTAGAGATCAAAAACAAGATGGAGCCCACGAACCCGAATGCAAACACATATGTCAATCCACTGTGTATAGAAAGAGACACAGCCGGTTAGATTATCTTTTTCACACTCCGGTACGCTGTTGGACATCATGCGCTGGGGACTCCACTACCAAGGCAGCCTGTGCTGGGGACTTCACCACCAAGCTCCGTCTTCGTCATGAAGGGTCTTCGTTTTGCATTCAAATCAAGCACTGGCGTAAAGGTTCTGGCAGATCCACATCACGAAAGAAACTACACCAGCATAGACCCAGATAGCTAGGCCCGGCAGAATCCCACGACCTGTTGACACGCGACTGGCTGGAACAAGAATGTACGCAGCCTGCGCAGCCAGCTTACGACACCTCGCACAATCAGCTGACACCAGCGCCCGACCAGCGCCGCCGCCCGTCTTAAACGCGCGCTCAGCCAGCTCACAGCACCAGCACCCAGGACCACAACACCAGCACCAGCACCGACACCCTTTTGAAAGCGCGCGCAGCCAGCTCATTCTCATTTGCAGCAAGAACCCCATAGCTATCCCTACTTGGGGAATAACAACGTATGATCTTGCGCGTAAAAGTCTGTGCGCACAAAAGTACGCGCGCAAACAGCAAAGCCCGTAAGTGTCATTGGCCCAAGGTCAGGCAGTATCCAGCGCCACGATTGACTTTGTAGCATGCTTGAAGCAACGACCTGCAGAACGATAAGGCCGTATGATCTTGCAAAAGTATGCGCACAATCGGCAAAGCCCGTAGGCTTCACTCGCCCAAGGCCAAGCAGTATCCAGCACGACTATTGTGTGTGTGTAGCATGATGAAACATGCTGGTACAATGGTCGGTTGAGAGCCTGACGCACAGAACATTATACGGTATGCGCGCAAACAGTACAGCCCTTGACACAGCTGTCGGCCAAAACAGAACCTGAAGGGTGTAAATACCCCACAGCGCTAATAAACAAAGAACGCTCAAGCGACAACACCGTATGATGTTTCGTGCATAAGTTCATGCGGCCCATGACTGCTTGCACTTCATTGTCAGAAGCGGCGCTTGGTCGCCCTTCACTGCTGCAAGCGGCGGTTTGTTACCCTTCACTGTCAGAAGCGGCGGTTGTTATCACTTCACTGTCAGAAGCGGGCACCAGCACCGAGCACCGGCGCGCCAGCTTACGGCGCCCAGCACCAGCACCCAGCACCGGTATAGCACCAAGCACAGCACCGGCGCCCAGTCACCACCACACACACTGCCAGCTCACAGCACCGGCACCGGCGCCCGCTGTCTCTACCATGCGCACTGCCAGCGCCCAGCACCGGCACCGTGTCTCCACCACGCGCGCAGCCAGCTCACAGCACCCAGCACCAGCACCACAGCCCGCACCAGCACCCGGCACCGGCACCCAGCACCGGCACCCTGTTTCCACCGCCCACCAGCACCGGCAACCTGTCTCGAAAGCGCGCGCAGGCAGCTTCGCTATCTGGGCCAAAAAGATCGCCACATTTATGCAAGCTACACCACCAGCACCGGCACCGGCATCCAGCACCAGCACCGGCACCCAGCACCGCCACCAGCACCAGCAACCTGTCTCCACCACGTGCACAGCCAACTCACAGCACCAGCACCAGCACCGGCACCCGGCACCACCACCAGCAACCTGTCTCCACCACGTGCACAGCCAGCTCACAGCTCCAGCACCAGCACCGGCACCCAGCACCAGCAACCTGTCTCGAAAGCGCGCACGGGCAACTCACTATTATTTGAAGTAAGAACCCCATAGCTTCGCTATCTGGGGAACAATGGCACTGTCCCAAAATCTCGAAAATAAGCACTTGTAAATGATAACCGTCCACATAATACAGAGAAATCCACAACAGCGGCTGTGGGACACTCTTAAGGGACACTCTTGTGAGACACTCTTGTGGGACACTGTTGCGGGACACTCTTGTGGGACACTCTTACGTGACACTCTTGTAGGACACTCTTGTGGGACACTCTGGTAGGACACTCTTGTGGGACACTCTTAAGGGACACTCTTGTAGCACACTCTTGTGGGACACTGTTGCGGGACACTCTTGTGGGACACTCTTGTAGGACACTCTTGTGGGACACTCTTACGGGACACTCTTGTAGCACACTCTTGTAGGACACTCTTGTGGGACACAATTGTGAGACACTCTTGTGGGACACTCTTAAGGGACACTCTTGTAGGGAACTCTTGTGGGACACTCTTGTGGGACACTCTTGTAGGAAACTCTTGTGGGACACCCTTGTAGGAAACTGTGGGACACTCTTGTAGGAAACTCTTGTGGGACACTCTTAAGGGACACTCTTGTGAGACACTCTTGTGGGACACTGTTGCGGGACACTCTTGTGGGACACTCTTGTGGGACACTCTTGTGAGACACTCTTGTGGGACACTCTTGTGGGACACTCTTGTAGGAAACTCTTGTGGGACACTCTTGTAGAAAACTCTTGTGGGATAACGTTGTAGGACACTCTTGTGGGACACTCTTGTAGGACACTCTTGTGGGACGCTCTTGTAGGGAACTCTTGTGGGACACTCTTGCGGGACACTCTTGTAGGAAACTCTTGTGGGACACTCTTGTAGGACACTCTTGTGGGACACTCTTGTAGGAAACTCTTGTGTTACACTCTTGTAGGACACTCTGTGGGACACTATTGTGGGACACTCTTGTGGGATACTCTTGAGGGACACTCTTGTGAGACACTCTTGTGGGACACTCTTGTGGGACACTCTTGTGGGACACTCTTGTGGGACACTCTTGTGGGAAACTCTTGTGGGACACTCTTGTGGGACACTCTTGTAGGAAACTCTTGTGGGACACTCTTGTGGGACACTCTTGTAGGAAACTCTTGTGGGACACTCTTGTAGGACACTCTTGTGGGACACTCTTATAGTCTTATAGGACACTCTTGGGGGACACTCTTGTAGGACACTCTTGTGGGACACTCTTGTAGGACACTCTTGTGGGACACTCTTACGGGACACTCTTGTAGGACACTCTTGTGGGTCACTCTTATGGGACACTCTTGTCGTCTTGTGGGACACTCTTGTAGGACGCTCCCAAACGGGCGTTTCGTACGAGACTTCCTCCAAAAGTCACGTGTCAAGTCTCCAAAACGAGCGTTTCGTACGAGACGTCCTCCAAAAGTCACATGTCAAAGTCTGCAAAACGAGCATTTCGTACGAGACTTCCTCCAAAAGTCAAGCAGAAACACCCATCGGAGCACACACATCACGCAGCCCTGCCAAGCAGTTTCGCGAGTCCAGCCCCTCCAAACAACACCCGTTCACACGCCAATCCCACTGTCACAGCGACATTCACTTCTACCACAACTCACGACCTCACAATTCCCTGCGCCTGCCACGAATCTTTCCGCATCCACATGTCTAACGCGCACAAAGTACTGCGCCTGTCACGAAATGTCGCCTCCGTCACACCTCGCAACCTCACGATTCCCTGCGCCTGCCACGAGACTCGCACTTCCACACCTCAAAAGCCACACAAAGTACTGCGCCTGCCACGAAAAGTGACCATATCATCTCATGTGAGCTTCAACAAATTTTGCACCACACCACACGTTTGGAATGATTTCGACCCGTTCTGAGCATACTCCCATCCACCAAAATCGGCATTTCAGCTGAGACTTGTCACGAAAACAGAGCTTCGGTGCCACACCCTGAAACGCAAATCCCAATGGCACGGCCACATCCAACACCCCAAACACACGACTCTCCAAACGCCAATCCCAAAGGAACTGCGACGCAAACTGCGGATCTCACGAAACGCTGCGCCTGTGCAGCGAAATGCATCACGCTTCTTGCGCGCCTTAGCGCTCTACTGCGAACGGTTGCGGACGGTTGCGGACGGTTGCGAACGGTTGCGGACGGTTGCGGACGTAGAAACCACGGATCGCGAACAAGGCTCTACCCCCAGACCCCCAAGAGTTAAACGAGAACCCTTCGCTACGCATTCGGGAAAAAGAGGACCAGGCCGGGTCTGGACAAAGATATGCTTGAACATCTTCAAATTTCTATCTAGATCCGAGTAAATCTCCTACCGATAGAGCGCCATTGCTGAAGAGCATGGTCCTTTCTGGGAAGCAAACATCCCAGGATGCAGGAAGGCCTGTCCAGCAGCATCCAGGGCGTTTCACGTTCGTAGTAGGTGAACTGCATCTTCTCGTTTGAAACGAAAATTGCACTGAAAATGGAATCCATCTTGCACCTCTCACCGTGGGGTTGGAGAAAGCGAAACCGTCTGATCCTGCTTGATCTCCTGCAGCTTCCAAGCCCACTGATCAAACAAATCCGGTGAAGTGGATAGAAAAGCAAGTGAAACATAGTAAAACAATCTGCATCAAATGTAGTAGATATACAGGGAGCAAAGGCCATTTCACACCATTTCACCAACAACGGCCTGCTGGCCTGGAGTCGTGTCAGCAAGGCCTCTTGGATCCGGGCCCACGAGGAAAAAGCATCGTCAAAACAGATCAAAACGAGTTAAAACGAGGAGAGGATTGCTCCACAAATTCTCAAACTTTCGGACCCAAGCTTGACCTGCGACTACGAAAAAATAATGCACGAAAATAACACGCTGTATCTTCTTTTCTGCAGCAAAACCGTGTAAGACATGAAAACCGGCCTTGCGCGGCGAAACGGATGTCTACCCAGCGCTCGAATGCTTCAGCCTCGCTCACCGCAAGATACCGTCGCAAGGCAAATGTTCACTTACACAGCACCAATCCACTAGCTGTGGTGAAGCAAGAAGGCCCATCCAAACTGGAGAATGATGCATCTGTCTTTCTGCTTGCAAAATTATCACTCCAATGGTATCTACTTGCAGGACCGCAACCAGTGTTTGGAGCGGGTAAAACAGGAGCCCTCGGGCGCTTTGCAACTGCTAGCATGAGCGAAATCCAAAGGCGCCACAAGGAGAAAGCTGTACGCTAAAAATCGCTAGAAACCAAGCATCGTTGCATGTTTTCCAACGGAAAATCATTGAATCAAGTTGCAAAGCCCGGAAATTCCACTGCCGCAAAAAGCGTGGTGCTGCACAATTGTGCTCCTCACTATTGGTCCGTTACCCTTCGGGTCAGACAACTAGAGAGAGAGAGTGCTGGACATCACAGATGACAGCAGTTTCTCGACGCGCAAAACCTTGTGGCTGTTGGAGAAAAAAAGGCTCAGCAAACGATCGCGTCTCGCCGCGATCAAAGTTGACACCTCGATGCGCGGATCAAACGATTCGCTGAAATGAAGGTTATCTTTAACATCTCACAATAGATTTTGCCTAGAAGATTATTCAGCCAAGAAAAGCAATAAACAAGTGATTCAAAAGTGTGGCGAAAGAATGAGATGAATGAAGTGTTTCCAAGAGGAGAGATCTACTAGTAGTGTATGTGGCATGAGCATGACATGAGTGTATGTAATTATGTGATAGGAACTGGCTGATGTGTGCTTGTGCCTGCAGTGCTTTTTTATGTGACCTGGAAGGTGCACCTCTGACGAAGCAATATTCTCGGCATGTCGCACCAAACAGCATGTATGTCTGTGTGTGTGCAACAGCAGTGGCTACCTCCCACCTCGTTACCTGGGTACAAGAGTTGCAAAAAGAATGTGAGCATCGTTGATCAATAATCAGGCTATATGTTCTTGGTATGTTCTTGGTGTAAAAAAAAAGAAAAACATCGGGGTCTAACTGGCGTTCCCACTCTGCTTGTTCTGGCCCTTGTGTGACAAAGAGACGTGGTGCTGTGGTTTTTCAAGTCGCTGGGGAATCATCGCTATGGTCAGTGACCTGCTCACAATGTGTTCCATGTGGTCATTGCGTTCAACTTTGTGTCAGGCTGCAGGTGTGATTCAGTGATTCAGTGGCGTCGGTGATCAGTCTTCCACAAGTTGAGCGGAGGCGTACAGTATCGGTCAACTTCGCATCAGAAACCTCGGAGCCGTCAGTTCCTGAACCTGGGTGCAGTGTCTCGACTGACGCGGGAGCCGCAGCAAGGTCACCGGTGAAAAGCGGCGTGTGCCAAATCGGACACGGATGGCTAGCTTCAGTTGACTCTGGACACGGGGCGGCCAATAGACGTGCCGGAACCGTCTCACCCGAACACGTGACTCTGATCGCTCGCGGTTCCGGATCGCTGGCGACTGAGCGAACACGTTTCAAGACTCGCGGCTTCCAGACTCGACCGAAAATTCCAGGACTGACTGAGTCAATCCTCCACTAGCCAAGCCAGGTGATGGTCACAGTCACGAACCATTTTGATTTCTTTCCCTGGTTCTTCTTCGTGGTGTCACCAGCACAGCCAGACACGGACATGTCTTGGGATCGTACGTAAGCAACACTTATTGCCTGACACCTTCGCGTGAGCCAAATCAACCATTTCAAATTGAGGTATAGTTGATTTGGCAAAGCCAGCATACTTCTTGAAATGTTCAATCAGTAGATCTTTCTTTTTGCAACTGACTCCCGGAAGAAAACACCTTCTAGACTCCTAGGTCCTAGGCGAAAACCGCACGCGAAAGCCGCCGAACTGTGTCGCGTGGAGAACCAGCGAAGAGGTTCCCCAATGTGATCAAAATCAAAACCACGAAGCGAAAAAACCGCCGAGTTCACGGGTTGCCTTGTTGAAAAAACCGACGCGATCTCCCACGAGTCATCCCAGCATTTTGTAGAGGAAATGGGGTCACAGATCCGATCCCTTTACATGAGTCATTCCCGCAGGGGCTGAAAATTGTGACAAAGTCATTCCGACCAAGGCAAAAAGAGTTCAAACAAAAGCAGCCTGTCTTCATGACATCCACTGGGCGCTGAACATCATGATCGTCTTGTCTTCGCGGCACAGTAATTCGGCAGAGGAGATCACGTGCCGCAAAGCCGTGACTTGTGCTCGACCTCGTGGCTCTGATCAGGAAACCCATCAAGAACCCATGGTTTCAAGGGTTTTTAACTGCCAAAAGGACACGTCTTATGTTGCAACTAATGTCCGGATCAGGCACTGGTCTCACTCCATTCTGGCTCGTGTCTGTCCTCAATCCACGAAGCAAAAGGACTTGTGTCAGAATAGAAACGGGATATTATCAAGTCATACCACACAGCATGACTTCGTGGCAAGGCTCAAGAATGATCCCAGCAGCTTTCAGAAGGACTTCCACAGAAATCCCTGCGCCAGATCTTGCATCTAAATGAAACTCCGTGGGGATCTTGCGTGTGTCGATGGCTCGTCCCGGCCTGCCCCGACCAGCCCCTCGGCTGCTTGTTGTACCGAGTTGTCAGAGACATCAGAGCTGGCCAGAGCGCCGCGGGTAGGCGGACAGCCGGCCATTTGCCTGCCGTCCGTGACGGGGGTCATAAGTGGCTTCCGCCACACAAATGGGGCAGGCACTATAGGGCAGGTGTCTGGCATCTATACTGAGAAAAAACAGCTGTTTTCAAACAGCCAAAACACTACGACTACGAAACCAGGAGATGATGGAAATGAGTGAACTCTGTTCATGCATTTGTTTCGTGCTTTGACATAATAAGCCTCTGTCCCGGCCTTGAAATGTCCTCAAGCTCCTCTGGTGAAACTGCTGGAGCAACTTGACCGCCCTCAAGAAACAACCAGATACAACGAATACCTTCAGTTTGTGTGCAAGTCATCGTGATTTCTCACATCCATTGGGTCCCAACGAAGTACTTGCCCATGGTAGAAATCACCTGACGGTCGATTCGGCTGCGTTCGGCGAACCAGGTCGAAAAAACCCGACATCGCACTGGGAACTGAAAGATGAGCCTCGGAAATTTGAATGTCCGGAGAGTTCTCCTGGCACACGTCAAACGGTCCAGGTCGCAGAGGTGAGGAGCCAGTATGTGGCCAAACGGTTCCTAAAAACGACCCAAAAACGCTCCAAAAGCGCTCGGCTCCAGGGCATACTCTTCGAGGGCCGAGGTCATTTCCTCTTCTGCTTGCTTTCGGTTCAGACCTCCCAAGAGATGGGACGTGGGACGTCAGGCAGATCGAACAGAACGAGCCGATCATGAGCACGGCTCTCAGTGCAACGTGCTTTCGTTCGCTCGCCATGAAGCCATTTTGTGGAGAAGTGGCGTCAAGCTGCGCACGAAAGCTTCTGAAATAGGAAGACTACTATTTGTGTGTGTGTGTGTTGAAATATGGAGACGCCCAAAAAAGAACCCAAGGAAGAAATAACATAGACCCGTCTACCCATTGGTGGGTGGTCTCACTATTAAAATACAAACTGCTCTTTGATCCACCTGGAGAGTTCCACAACACCATTGCTGTCGTAGACATAAACGAAAAGAGCAAGGTAGTACGGATCTAGAACGACAACTTGGTTGAAGAAGGCAAAGCCGCAAGTAAACTGGTGATCACTTAGAACTAGGGCCAGGCCAAGATACCTTCAGCCAAAGCAGACGAGATTGAGCTATTGAAAACCAACGAAAATCGAAACCAAAAGAAGAGAGCACGAGCTGAGCGGCAATCTCTCCCTAAAACAATTGTTGGTTTGTGGTGTGTCTTTGCGAAGTAGTTTTGGCATTCGCGGTTGCATTGGGCAGGATTTGAACAGTGGTGCGCACGGTGCATCCTACTCTTTCGTACCATATTCCCTACTCAGAGTATCCATGATGCAAAGCCCTAGTAGGTTCCTCACAAGAAGAACAAGCTGACACAAGGTGACAGAGAAGACCAAATCTTCACATCTGCCTGGTACAGCGGCCATGACGTCATCGACGTAAATCACCTGAGACCATCTGGATCATTGATCTATTCTCCGAGCCATAACATGGAAGTGTGTTTGCAGAGAATAATGGCCTTCCAGGGACCTACTTTTCCACTTCTATTTTCCACTTCCATCATTGTACCCTGTGCCATGACTCAAAAACCACTTGTTTCATGGCGGCAGCGTCTCCTTCGACTCGCTCTTTGTGGTATGATCTACTATAAAGGCAGCTGGAGCACTTTATCACTTTCCAGGCACTCCTTGCCGTGAATTTCCATATACTTCTTCACCACCTGACACATGTTCCAAGCACTGCTGGTGCACTGCCGATGTGTGAACCACCGACCACTGACCGGCTTGGACCACCGAAGAGACCACCTGGGAGAGTGGAGTGTGCTCTCCGGTCCACTTGCGTGCGCCACGCCGCATGATATCCTGAAGGGCCACGAAACGAACAAGTCCATTCGAAGAGCGAAGACGACGAGCGCAAACAAGGGGCAGTGTCAAAAACCGGCGAATGGCGCCCCCTGGGACCCTGTATGAACGAGAGGTCTCCTTTTCGCAAACACCTCTTACCAACATCCAACATCTCAATCTCCCAAAAATGTGCATTTCTCAAATCGATCGAAAGCATCAGATCTAGCAGAGCATGGATGTTCGGGCACCAATTTCGCCCAGAATCCCAGCATTCATGCCACAGCGACTCGCTCGTCCGAGACCCTGCTGCAACCTGCGACCACGGGTGAATTGTTCAACATGGCACAGGGTGCAGCGGAGCATGGCCCGAGCATCGCTCGTGGGCTGCTGTGGGGGGGGGGGATGACCTGGTTCTTCTCATGTGTTTGAGCCTTGCTATTCAACGCAGGTCTTGATCTGCGTATCAAAGCAGTCCTGGACAGAAACAAGATATCTCGGAGCAGTCGTTGCACCTGCCCATAGACGTCCATGAGGATGGCAATGAGCATGTTGAGCAAGAGAAGGACTGCTGCCATCATGTAGGTACCAAAAAAGAAGAAGGCAACCTGAAGGGTCAAGACATGTCAGATGGATCATGATGGCTCACTCTTTTGTCAGTCGCTCGATCACACAAGAAAGGAATGCTATGCGAACAGTATGCGAACAGTATGCGAACAGTATGCGAAGATAGAGAGTGCCTGCCATCGAAGGCTTCATTTCTTCGACCGGTCGAATTCGACCGGTCGTGCCGTTCGGTCCGGACCCATCTCGGCCGACGAGCCAAGGAACTGGGCGACCGCTCAGCTCCATTTCTTCCACGCTAAACTCACCCATCCTCAAAGCACGTTTACATCACACATCCTCGTTTTTCGTTTGGCCCATACGGCGGGCGCCGGCGAGAAGCGATCTCACCATATATCGGCCACGTGCAAACGAGAGGCAAAGCTTCCAGAAGTGCGAGGCAGGCACGGTCGAAGGATGCAAAAGACTCCACTTCTCTTCCAAAGAAGGCCATTCCCATGGCAACATAAGTGAAGAAAATGGACAAGAACACCTGCATCACAAGCAGAAACAGCTGCTGTCTTCTCACAGATATGGTTTTGAACGTTTAAGCCACCATGTTCTTCAACTCCAAAACACATCATTTGTGGATTCGCACATTCAAATAGTTCCAATTGAGTCACAATCCCAAAGTGCGTCAAGTCGTTCGCCGCCAAGGCTAAGGTCTTGGTCACGATGGCCAAGCGCGGTTGTGCAGCAAAGGCTTTGAACCTGAATGGCGCACACCATATAGACACCCGACCATGTATACATGGGTGGCCTAAATGAAACGGCCGGGGGGGGGGGATCCATAAAATACATGAGTTGGTACATTGATGATCCTTATGGCAGTTCTGCCATTCAATATGCAAAAGTGGGGGATCCTTGATGTAGAGCTTGTTGTGTTCCTAGGTCCTAGGCTAGTGAAACACGCCACCGCGGATCCAAGTGGCAGTCGCATCATGATGCAAACGGGATAGAATCCCGAGATCCATCGATTGCTCCTCGTTCGCGTGAGACCCGGAGCGTTTCCGTCCGCCAACTCATCGGAACTCATTCGGAGATGCTCCACGGAACGAGTGCTTTGTTGCGGAACGGCGCGGGCGCTGTTGGTTTGAAGCGGCGAATACCGAAAAGGCTCCTGATCTGATATCCAAGTTCTTCCACTTGCGTGAAGAGCGCAATATCATAGCTTTGGGCTTGATCACCTGACATGTCACGTGGCCTGGAAAACCAGTCCTGGCTGGCAATTGTTTTGCTCCCTTCGTTCCACCGACACAAGCTCCGTTTGTTCCGCCGCGCTGCATGCAGTGCTGCCATAGCCAGCTGAGCTTCGGCAGAGAGAATGAAGACCCAAGTAATCCTTGCAACATGTACTGTGGCAAGACCAGCCAACTGAGTGATTGAAACTATCCTGGCAAAGTCCCCCCCACTGGTGCACACCCACATCTCATATTATTAGTGGCCATTAGCGTGCACCACTCCAAGTGTTTGGGAGAAACTCCCTCACAGCCTCTCTGGGCTCCAAGTTCTTCGCAAAAATCCCTCGCAGCACGAGCGCTCGGCTCCCAAACCTCCAGCTTCGCCAAGATGGCATCCTGCTGTAACTCGGAAATCCCACCATCCGGTTTCGCTGTGTGACGTTCTCAGCATCATGTCGGAAAAAAAAAGAAAGAATAGTGTCTGTCTATATAGGTCGATCTATAGGTCTAGAGTCGACCGAGTCCACCGTCGAACCGTCCGAACGAGTCGAAGCACGAAGCGTCCGACCAAGGGACCGGTCGGACCAAACACTCAGGGGATCCGTTCTCCGGCCTGCTCCACGCACTGGATGATCCAGGTGATCAAAATCGCATAGGCCAAGCAAATGGAGACCCAATCCACCACATTCCAGAAATTCCAATACTCTTTCCTCACCCCAAAAAAGACGTCGCATCAACACGAGGTCGTGGAAAAAAAGAAAGAAAAAAAAAGAAACGAAACACGGGCCGGTTCGTGAGGTCGTGAGGCCGAACCCACGACCCGTTCGGGTGACGAGCTCCGTGTTCGGCCGGGATGCCATGCGCGAAGAACATTGTAACGATGTTCTCGCAAGGTGCAAATTGCTTCAAAGGCTGGCAAGGAATCGGCTGGCTTCAAGACCCACTTGGGTGTAAAGTGCTTTGAAGTCTTCCGTGGCATCAGCAGAATTCATACGTAGTCTTTTTCTTGCGTTCGCATCAGAGTCATGTGTCACCTCTGGAACCCCCCTTTACTCCACTTGAGTGCTCATTCTGGACTCCTGCCTTCGCACACGAAGAGGACCGTGATGTGTCCAAAGAAGAGGACCTCAGGCATTCCGAGAATGCGTTGCGAGGACGAAAAACAGCACGAAGCACGGAACCAACACGGAACCCCGAAAAACCGCTCCGACACCGGCTCCGCCCCCGAACATCGGGAACGCGGAAGCACGGAAAAACACATGGGAACCACCACAGTGGAAGCACCGGGCCTCGAAGACCCAACTCTCCCAACTGGAATGAGCCGCCAATTTCATGGACCTCGGTGCGTCTTCGTCTTCGATTCTTCCCCCGGTTGGGGGGGCCGGGTTCGGTCCACGCAACACCACTGAGCTCCAGGGCCGGTGAGTAATCTGTTTGAAAATGTGCCCTGGCCGGTCCGGCTGTCCGGTCCCAGTCTCGAGTCGGCGGTCCGGTCGTCGTCGTCGTCAGCGCCTGAAATCGCAAACATGAAGTGGATGTGGGTCGTCGTCAGAACATCCTAACGGTTCAAGCAGTCAGAGGCAGTCACGTCGTGACTAACGGATCTGCAGTCACGTCGCATAGATCTGGTTGTACGTCATGAACGACACCTGTTTGGCAAAGGCACTTGCACTTGGCAAATTCATCCAAATTCCTCTACCACTAATAAATCTGTGCTATATGATAAAGTGTACTACTCTGCGGGAGCTGTGACATGTTTTGCAAATGGGTCATTCGTAAACGCCTAACACCTCCTAACACCTAAACAGCTCAATAAACTTCCCTATATCATTGTATATATATATATATATCCTTCTTTGGCAGTGTCTATTCATCAAATGTTGCACGACATGGGATCCAAGTTGTCTATTCGCCAAATCCTTTCCCTTAAGCCAAGCAAGATGTGTTCTAACAACCTGGCTGTTTTGCAGCTCGCCACCTTCTCAAGTCAGAGATTAGTTGTGTCAAAGTTGTCTCTCACCCTGAAAGAAACAGCCCCTGTTTCGGACAACACCTGAAAAAAGGAGAAAAAACAGTAAATGCTGTGTGTGAAACAAAACCCAGCGAACATCGCACCCTTCCACCAGTCGCCTTCACGCGGTAGGTGCTGTTGTCGAGCCAACGCGTCTGTTCGAGCTGCTCGAGCTGCTGACTCACCTGGTCGAGTCTCGCAGCTTGCGCGTTCGTTGAAGCACAACTTTAGGACAGGTCGCTCAAGCCCGGCGCAGCTTTACTACGACTGCGGCTAGGCATTCTTTATAATGTTTATTGTTTATGTTTTTTAAAGACCTTCCAGACACCGACCTTTTTGAAGTGGAAAAGGATGAAACAGAAACTGTTCCATCCTTTTTCCCCTTCAAAAAGGTCGGTGTCTGGAACGAGTGACGATCAACGACGAGTCTCGAGGTGACTTCTGCCATCAGGTCACATTCACTTGTGGAAATTCCATCAAATACTTCAAGGTCGTTGTCTTGCTGGGATCTGCATTCTCATCAAACTCCTTGCCCGATTGGCTCACGTCCAACTCGGTGGGCTTCAGCCGTAGGTCCAAGCCGATGAAGCTTCGGCAGTTCAAGCTCAAGGCATTGCTAACCTGGACTCCAGGCACTGCAAAGGCACCCGGATCATTTTGGAACACAGAGACTGCAGTCTGACACCAGTGTCCGGAGCCGAATGGTTCGCAGCAGCGTCAGGAATTTCATCCCACGGCGTGGCTGATTACATGCTTCAATGTCTTGTCTATCCGTCCATACATTAGTACGGATGCAATGCAGTAGATGAAGAATGATGGAATTCAGTGGAATTGGATGGAATTGGATGATCCAGATTGATCAAGGCTCAAGAAACACCGAGAACTGAGAACTATGAGGTTCGTTTGAAACACGTTGCACTGAATTTCTCAAATCTTGGGCACTAGAGGATTGCTGCAATCGGAGTCGAAGAGCCTGACGGTTTTTATTCAAACTGCTGTGCATCGTTCGATGCAGAAAAGACATGTCAAAAGCTTCTGGTCATCAAAGTATCACCTCTGCTGCGTCAGAATCACGTCGCCAATCTTCCGATTATGCTGCAAATACCTGCAGGATAAGTGGACACACTGGCCGTGTGACGGATGCCCTCCGGAACTGATGCTTTTCCTGTGAACAGAAAGAGTGCACACGTGGCACAGCTTCGTTTGGGCAGGAAACGTACTCGCTTCGTCAAAAGTGAGCTGTCCAAGACTGTATTCGGCTCCCTCTGAAACAGACGCATCCATTGGAAAGTAGATGGCCTCAAACACCAGCGACTGGAAACAGCGACTAAAGATTCCGGTCCACACAAAAAAATGCAAAAGACTATGACGGCCGTTTTCCATGGAATGCTGAAAGGCCGATTTTCTGCTATTCAAGGCTCGGAAAAGCCTACCCTCATCCAGGAGTACCAATCTGCGAAGGTGTTCACATCTTCATAGTTCTTGTGCCCCATATACAGCGGGCTAGAAAATGCGAAGTTTGCATTCCTCGGAGAAAAGATATAATGAAAGACCATGAGAATGATAAGTGCAGCAATCTGAAGAGTGGATTTCTACGCCGGTAGTAGATCTGCTCATCGGAAAAGACTTAAAATGTTCGTTGCCACTTGCCACTTCAGCTTCTCTGCGATATCAAAATCAATGGCCTTTTCGATGCTCTGAATCGTCTCCGGAAGCTCATGAGACAAGTTCCTCAGGTCTCGGTCGGCGAATCGTGCGAAAACACCAATTTCGTCGTCAGCGCAGACATCACCCGAAATTGCGCTGGGGCGCATCAGCAAGAACCAAACAATCAGCAGAATCGCGGCCTGGGCGAAGCGAGCGAGCGATTGGCGCTTTCTGACCAGAGTCGATCGACATGGTGTTGGCCCTTCTCTTTCGTCGGGCCGAGAAATCAGCGTTTGGTGTCTTTTTGATGTTGAAAAATTGGTTCCTTTGGTTTATTCATGTTTGTTCCTTTTGATGTTCTTTGCTTGTTTTTATTTCTAGTTGACTCAAAGAAAAAGCTGCAGTGAGTTGTGGGTGGAGGTTCACGTGTTCACCCAAAATGCAGCAGAGCAGCTGGCAGGTTCTTGACCGCGGCTTCACCTTCAATCTCCCCTTTCAAATACGATAGCATGACGCGTTCTGGAACACCATGTTCCTTAGTGAATTGACTAAAAGGGTTGACAAAGGCAGAAGAAAAGCAAAATAAATGTGTAACGAAAGGCAACCCAGGGAAACAAATGCAGCTGAGGTATGCTATTGAGCATATTGAGTATTCTGAGTTGTGAGTAGGGACCTTTCAGTCCGACGAATGTGTCATTTTCGTCCACCAGACGATGCCAGACGCTCGCTCCGAAAGAGGTCCCGTCTCGTCCCGTCCCGGGTCCGTTCCAGGTCCATCCGGATCCGATCCAGGCTTCTTTAAGAACGTCCGTGGGCTCCAGTGCCTGCGAGACGGCAGCGACCGAGTCGAAAAGCTCCAAAAGGCGGGTCGCAATGGGTCGCATGGTTGGCTCGGAAGCCCAGCCTCCACTTCCAACCCAGGTTCGATTTCAACCTCACCCAGGTTCGTGACGAAAGCAAATCAACATAGGTTCTAATAGGTTAAACAGCAATGATGTGAGGCGGCGACCCAACCAAACGTTCGGTGCCTCCGAACGAATGTCGCCGATTCGGAATGATGCATCTCTTTGCAAGTCATGTTTTTCCCTGAAGGATGATCACAATGACTTGTTTTGTCGGACAGAAATGGGACGGAAATGCTGAATGGCCTGACACTGGTTTACTTCCTAGACCATATCACTCCCTTTTTGGAGTCAATGCAAAGCCAAATCGAAGTCTCCGTTGCCTTTCGGATTTTCTGCTCTGGAATTCACAGTCTCCATCTGAGGTGGCCTGCACCAAGAGAGTACGGCATCCAAGTCTGAAGCGAAATCTGTGAACTGACCCCTTTCCTGCCAATGATATACTTCAGATTCAATAAGAATCGGATGACTGCAACGTTCCACAAAAGCAGCGGCTTCAGCTCCAAAAAGAAGCACTTCCATCCTCTCCATCTGAAAAATGCCGCCTCACTCCTGGCACTTTGTCGAGGAGTTGTAGGCGCTTTGGCCTGGTTGTTTTTCACCACCTGGCTGGCGCCCGCAGCGCGCTTTCCCACCACCCGAAGCACCATGGTTCGGAGAGCTCGAGCCAACTGGGCGCAGGAGCCAACACAGCGTGTTGCGCTCGGCAACAAAAAGTCACACCGAACTCAGGTTTGCAAAGGCTCGAAGACAACAGTTCCTGTCAGTTCCTCATAGTTTAAGCCAAAGTTAGGCTTAAACCAAGTCTGACATAGTCTGGTCCTTTCATTTTCTGCAGGGCAAGTGTGCAATCTATAGTCAGGGTCCCACACTCCTGCAAGTGGTCTTTTTTGCCGCTCTCATGTTCTCTGAGGTTGGCACCAAGCCCACACCATCTGCAGACGCTTCTAGGGTGCTCTTTGTTTCTGGGGTCACCCAGAAGAACAGCGGAACTTCATCACGGCCTGGCACCAGACTTCGACATCGAGCGGTTTATCCGATTCGCCTGGGACCAGTCTTCTTGGCCCACTCAGACCATGGGACAGTCATCCTTTCTAGACCGAGATGTAAATCGAGATTCGTCCATCAGGTGTTACAAGCTGACTGAGGGGAGGAAAGTTCGAAAGATATTGGGTAGATATAAAATTAAGAACATGGATTAAGGGGTTTGCTTTGGAGGTTGTTTCATGTGGTTTCTGCTCCAGCTGTGCTCCAGCTGGGTGGTTTGTTGTGCCAATTTTAGAGTCAACCACGCGGATGACGTGGCACGAATTGACTGAAGAATCCCAAGCTTCCGGCCGCCCGCGGTCGCGAGGGTCACGGCTGCAAGGAGCTTGGCAGCATGCCGACCTGTCACGCCCCAAGCCCCATGGTTCATCGAAGATCAAACGTACAACGGCGAATTCATCTGCAAGAAGAAACCGACTTTGCTTTAGTCCTGCCCCTTGTTGTGTTCCTGCTTTGAGCAGGGGCAAATGGGCTGTCTTCAGGGTCTGTCACAAAAACACTGGCAAATGGTACCGGCCATCTTGTCGCCATGGCTCCACCCTTCAGCAACAGGTTGGGTCAAACATGTGTCTGCAAGCACGTGTATTTGCATGGTTGAGCCAAGCTGCCAAGCTATGACCAGCTATGACTGACTCTGTCTTACAATCAGCAGGATTGGTTCTCACCAAACTGTCTCTTCACGCTGTTGGGAGCCAAGCTTTCAGCGGCAAGCAACTCAGTATGCAATGCTTCAGTCCTTGTTTCAGTGCACTTGACCTGTTCCTCCGGCGCCGACCGAAAGGTCTGCCACGTCCCTTTGGTCCGACCTGTCTGACCTGTGGTCCGACAGTGATGTCCCCACGGGAAAGCACACTGTGATTCCCTCGCCCCAGAAAGCTAAAACCTAAGGTGAGACACTTCGAAGACAGCTCATGTCCTTTCACCACTGCTCATCACTCTCATTTCCTGACCTCAGAAAGTAACTACTCTCAATCAAATCCTCAGCTTTTGACAGGTCAGAGCAATAAAAAGAAAAAAGAACAAACACTAGTCTAAGCATCCACACGGAGGACTTGGCTTTCGCCTTTCCAGCCTTCGGCGAGGCTTTCTCCTACGCGACGGCAAGAAAGTGCCGTCGATGCAATCTCGACGTATCTCGTATCTCATTGAGACCTTCCTTGGGAGGTAGTGTCCACATGGTTCATGATTGGAAGTGTCCTCCTTGGACAAAAGAAAATAGCAAGAATCGATCGAGTGTGCAGAAGGACCAGCAAGAGGACGAATTCAGGCTCTGATGACACCATCAGTGTGGCCCGGATGCTAGAGTCTAGGCTACTATCTAGTTGCATCTAGCTGCTATAGCCAAACAGCCAAACAGCTCTCTGAGTTCAACGAGTCTCTCCTAGCACCGCACCGATGCGCCCCGGTCTCAGCCTCCACCGTCCCCCCGACGCCTTCGGCTTAGACTTGGCCTTGGGACGCCGGAACGAACGAATAGCTTCTTGTTACTACTAGTAAGGCACTTGTTACTACTAGCGTGGCACTTGTTTCTAATAGCTTCTTGTTACTACTAGTAAGGCACTTGTTACTACTAGCGTGGCACTTGTTTCTAATAGCTTCTTGTTACTACTAGTAAGGCACTTGTTACTACTAGCGTGGCACTTGTTACTAGTAACAAGAAGCTAATGGACACTTCCGAGTTTGGGTTTCGGCAGTTCACGAAATGCTGCACACTCCGAGGTGAGACTCGTTCAAGCCGTTTGCTGGCCTTCGTGGCAGCCTTCGCAGCGGCCGGTTCTGTAGGCGCCTGGGCAAAGCGACAAAAGTGATCTGGAGTTGCAATCGGCTTGGTCTGACAGAAATGCCGTGACAGGATGCCTTTACATCCAAAGTCAACTCTTCCACAGGAAAGCACCAAAACCGCCTTGCTGGTTGCTTTTGGCTTCGCCTTCGGTTTCGCTTTGGCCTTGGCATTTTTCCTGATCCTGGCAGAACTTGATGATTTGCATCACAGCACAGGTGTCCAATGGTGTCCATAGCACTGTGAAAAGGTTGAATATGTTTGAATTTTGCTCATGTCAATGATTGCCAAGTCCACTTGATCAAGCTTGAAGTACCAGCTTCATCATCGCTACCATCCTTTTCATCCTCCGGCTCAGCTTTGACCTGATCAAACATGGTCTGCTGAGTCAAAGGGCAAGCTGATGCAAGCTGCGAAAACATCACACTTTGCCTTATCCTTCTCCGTGTCATCCCCAATCTCATCTGGATTCTCCTAAATTCACTGAAAACACTACTACTAGGAACAAGAAGCTACTAGGAGCTCCTGGCCATACTAGTAACAAGGACGCTACGAACGGGGCACACGACCTCCGTTCGTCTCCTCCATCGCAGAGGACTTCCGCTTCTTCCCAGCCGTGGGGATCACCACCTGAGAGCGGTTCACCACCGAAGCCCCACGCGGTGAACCGGCGCGCTGAAACGCCAGCGGCAAACGGCGCGCGTAACCGCGAACCACGCGGTTCGCCGGGGCACCGGGTTCACCCATCGGTCTTCTTCCAAAAAAAACACCGCTGAAATCTCCGCAGAAAAAACTCACCGAACAGAAAAATAAGACTCCAGCAGAGTAAGTGTTTAAAGTTCAAAGGAACACCGCTAAAAACTCATCCAACAAAAATCAGACTTAAAGGAAAAAACTGCGCAGAGCTCTGCACCTTCACGGCATGACCACCAGTGTTGAACTCTCGCGTCATGGCAGCTTTCACCTGTTCGTATGTGTCCGTCTTTCCAGAGGATCCACGAACAAACGCCAGAACGACCAACGACGGTCTGACCGAAAACACGACGGTCTCTCCACCTTGGCGTCCACCTCTTTAAACCGATCAGCACCACCCAGGTGCTGCCTGACAAAACGCGAAACGAACGGGCACCGGAGCCAGCGGGTCCGAAGCGGGTCCCAGGCAGGTCCCATGCGGCGGCAGCGTCGGCATTTTGCTCCAAACGAAACTCTCGGCTGCTGGACAGCTGTCCGGTCCAGCAGAACGGTCGCCAAAGGTGCTTCGAAACATGGCGTTTTAATCGATACTGGTGGGGTGACAAGCACTGTCACGCCGAAAACTGCCAGTCTAAATGCTGGCGGTGAGACACTGGCTGGTCATTCAAGCCTTCCATTGTCGCTGCCTGGCACAAAAATGAAGCAAAATGCTGCAGAACCACTGTGGGGAGTCCAAGAATGACGGCAGTGTTCAGGTCGTGCATCGGTCCGGCGGTTTGAAGAAAGGACGGTGGGGCGCCTCTTGGTAGAAGCCGAAGCGGCTGAAGCCGGTGGAGCTTTCCGCTTTTGAGCACCTCGTGATCGAAGACCTCAAAGCCTTTCCATGGGTATCACAGTCCGCACCTGTACTTGGCGCTTTGCTCAATGCCCTCTTGAATCGAAGAAGATTGGCCTCAAAATAGGACCCTGAGCCCATCCTGAGCCTGTTTCGCTCCCGTGTCAAACGAATCAAAAAGACACATCAAAGCAATTCAAATCATCTCACTGGTCTTTTGCGGCTGAGGGTACTGCTTTGCAAACTTCATCGTGGTCGACCATCGGCTTGGGATAGTCCTCCACGAGTTCACGCCCCAGCCCGCCCTTCGGTGGCGGTCTGCGAACAGGGTGGGGCCTTGCCGATGATGCAGCCCGCCGTCTTTTGGACCTGCCGAAACAGCTCGACCAGGTCCCGTATGACAAGCTCTGGAGCTCCAGACTCCAGTGCCTCCATGGGAGCTGTCCAGGGTGCATAAATGTATTGACCTCAGGACTTCTTGAAAACACCAAAACATCTCCATTTTCCAAAACGCAGCGTCGGTCGCTCGGGTCGGTCGTGTGTCACTTCTTTCCAAAAACCGCACCTGGCGACGTTTCTCAGCGACCAACTTGGCATCTTCCCAAGTTCCGGGACGAACTCACGGATGAACTTCCCCTGAGGCGATCTCGGTCGTCGGTTCGCATCACGGGCGGGGCGTTTTCGGCGCGGCACGGGCGCGTTTCCGCTCTCGAGCAGCCTCTGGATCTTTCACGTTGAGGGCAGAATCCATCTTTGGGACCTGGCGCAGAATCCCGGCAGCCTTTTTCTTGCTCTACATCAATCGATCAGAACATGAAAGACAATTTCAATTCAAACTTCAATACCCGCAGTTCCGACCAAACTTCTGCAGTTTCTTCCTGGGACTCTTGCTGGGTGGTAGACCCGGAAGAAAGGTGGTGACCAAGGGGCGACTCCCGCCAGGGCCAACCAATTCATGTTGTTTAATGCCCAATCCTCAGACGCGCTGGCGATTTCCATCGCGCTGGATGTGTTTGGCTTTCCCGTCAGCAGGGCTAAGGAAAGCATATAATATGGAAGCTATGAGTTCTTGACCGCATCTAGGAGCAGCTTGTCGAAGACGTCTCTGCCTAGAGATGGAAGAACAAAGGAGCAATCGATGGTGAGAAATCAAGTGGGGCTACGTGCGACGGACGCAGATTGGTAGTGCAGGCCTAGTGGCCTTGTTCCCAAGAAAGCCATAAATCACCACGCGTCAGGAAGCACGCCACTGCATGACGAGCAAGATGATGCATCCAACCCACCTGAGTCATTCACAATCGGCAACTGTTTTTGTACCTTCTCAAAAGCATCCCTTTGCGGTTGAGGCACCCGATTTAACTGCCTCATTGCCGCGTCTATGTAGGGAAAGCCAGTCCTGGAGCGTCTAAGCTCACACCGTAGTTTTCGCCGTCACAAGCCAAGAAACCGTTCTAAATCCGACAAGAAATCCGACCAAGAATCTTCACCACCGACCGCGGCCAAGCCTGCCATGC